TCCATATAATTATTACTAATCATTGCTTTGCTGTTTTTGAGAAGATAATTTTAAAAAGAATTTTCCCATATATTCCTATGTAAAACCGAGATTGCCCATTGTGGCCCCACCCTGGACCAGGTTTGATTTGAAGATACTTGAATCTGCGCTGGCTGATGATGCTTCCATGTAAACATTATTAATCACGGGCGTACCGCTATTCCTCAGTGGTGGATTCAGAAATTTCAGAATGGAAGGGGGAGGGTTGCCGTTCAGAATTCTTTTTGACAAGCAAAAAAAAGTCATTTGTATGTAAAGGTGTGTTACTGTATATGCTAAGTGAATTAACTAACTATGAAATTTTACCTATGGACTAAACTGACAGTATATACAAGTTAAACAAATCAGAATTTACCAAAGCAAAAAAATCAAACCAGCGGGCGGGGGTTTGGGGGAAGGGGGCGGCGCTACATCTGTCTTTGGTTTTTGAGGAGATTTTTAAAGATTTTCTGTATGTAAAACTTTGATCACCCATTGTGGCCTCACCCTACCCCTGGGGTCATGATTTGAACAAAATTGTTTTTGTTTGTTGTTATAATTTCCCTCTCGATTATTTTTTATTCATATGGAGACGTCACCACTTGTCGATGGAGGGCTGCAAATTTAGACCTATACTCGCCACTCAGGGTCATTGAGCAGTGAGGGAACTTTTTCGTGCCAGCACCTCAAAATTGAACGTACGCTATGTAATGAAGCTTTCATATAAGTATCATCTCTTCTGACCTAGTAGGTCTTGAAAAGAAGATTTTGAAAGATTTTTTGTCGCTTTCAAATCGACATTTAGATATATCGACGACGTACTGTCAATTAACAATAGTTATTTCTATTCGTATGTCGATACGATATATCCCAGTGAGCTTGCAATAAAAGATACCACAAAGTCTGACACATCTGTTTCATATTTGGATATTTTAGTAGAAAAAGACGTTAATGGTAATCTAACAAGCAAGCTTTATGATAAACGTGATGACTTTAACTTTTCAATCGTCAACTTCCATTACTTATGCAGCAATATGCCTTCATCAACTGCATAAGGGGTTTATATCTATCCGTTGATTCGATACGCAAGAGCATGCTCTACGTATGAACAATTTCTAAAACGAGGTAAGTTATTGCCGAACAAGTTGATGAAACAAGAATATCAGCACACTCGTTTAAAGTCGGTATTTCGTAAGTTCTATGGTCGATACAATGAACTTGTCAGCAAATACAATTTATCATTAACCCAAATGCTGGCTGGCGTTTTTCATACTAATTGTTAGGCCATTATTTACACACTGAATTGTTGACGGATTTTTCCCCGATCATGACAAAGAGCACATGGCGGTGTGATCGGTCGGCAGGGGATGCTCATTCCTCGATGGCACCTGATCCCACCTCTGTTGTTTTAGAGGTCAGTGTTTGCTCTGCTCCAAAATTTGTATTGTTTAATGGACTTCTGAGCTTGAATACTGTTCGTTATCTCCATACATTTCATTCTAAATAGTATATGAAAGATTTTGATCACCTATTGTAGCCACACCCATTACCCCCCACCCCCCACCCCCACCCCGGGACATGATCTGAATAAAACTGAATCTACACTTCATAATGAAGCTTTCATATCAGTTTTAACTTTTCTGACACAGTGGTTCTTGAGAAGACTTTTAAAAGATGTCACTAAATTTTCGCTAATTCTTAACTACTTCCCTTAAAACAACAAACTTTGAACAAACTTGAACCCCTTTTATCCACGGATGCTTTGTGACAAGTTTGGTTGAAATTGACCCAGAAGCTCTTGAGAAGAAGCTGAAATTTTGAAAAGTTTACAGACAGACGGACGGTCTGACAAAATGTGATCAGAAAAGCTCACTTGAATTTCCAGTTCAGGTGATCTAAAAATGTTAACCCCAACACCAATTATATCGGCACATGATTGTATATAAGAAAACACACAAAAAAAAATTATTTCCAAATAATCATTACTACTGAACAAAAAAAAACCTAATACATGAATTCAATCTCCAAGTATGTATTACAAGAAAAAAAGAATAGGCTGATTTATCAGATATCTCAAGAATCACGGTATCTTGACATATCATAGTGATTAACATCAATCCTGGGCACAATTTTCTGACCAAAAAGTATTCTCCCTACAGTATTGCGAGTAATGCTGTCTGTCTCTCTCCGTGCATGTGTGTGTGTTTGTCAATTTCTCTTTCTTTTCTGAAGTAAATATTCGTCAAAACAATATATGGACGACAATATATGCCGACCTTGACTGTACATATTGTCGCCGACAACAATATGTACTGGTGCTTGACTGTACATCTTGTCGTCCATTATGCAGGAAGAAAATAAGGCTCGTCTCGGTACATATTGTCGCCGGCGACAATGTGTACCAATGGATGACAATATGTGCAGTGAGGGTATGTGCATATTGTCACCGACGACAATATGTACAGAACGACAATATGTACCTTGCCAAAAAAAGAAGATATATTTAAGAAGTCAATGAAAATTTACATTGTTTTTTGCCTGAAAATCCCATATTTTGACCAATATCTCAAAATTTACATCAATGACTCCAACTTTTTCATTCATAATTTTACTTTACCTGATATGTTCAACCAATCAGCACTGAAGTCATAAAAAGCTTGATACAAGAAAATGTTTAATTGCCTAACTAGATTTTTAATACGCCATATTAGATATTTTTAGTGCAGAAAGGTCACACAATACTTTATGCGCATTAATTTGCAGGATTTTTCAATAATAAACTAGTTTGCATAAATTGATATTATATTTATTGCCATGATTACATTTGGTAAAATGAGAAAGGTTTAAGTGATTAACCTATAAGCTACAATTTAAGTGCAAAAAGGTCAATTTAGTTGTACCGTTGCTTAGTAAGATGCACACTGACACCAAGTTTTTCTTTGCGATTTTGAGTTGTGCTATATGAGTAATTATCTAAACTATACTTCTCAAAAAATCCTTGATACAACTCATATCACGAGTGACATGCCTTAATACATTTAATGCCTACTATTCTTTGTATATCGTTTGTTGTAGATATAAAATTAGACTCAAAACAAACCAGAAAAGCTTAAAGTTGCCAAAAAAAAACAACATATTCATGATCACTAATTCTACCATTAGCTAGATTTAATGTTATTCTGAGTCAGTGTCATTACTCATTAGAACTATAAGTTTTAAGATTGATTGATTGATTGATCGATTGATTGATTGATGCTGAACGCCGAGTCTAGAAATACTTCCTGTTTAGTTTTATGAAATTTGCTCTCTTCTTTCTTGATATAACAATAGATATATTTGAATATTCTAAGCGTTCATTTAAGTGTACTTACACGTCAGCTGGAATAAGTGGACATTGGCAACATTCTCGAATTTACAATTCAAGAATACATTCTCGTTATGCTTCAGTATATTGGACAAATCTTTCAAATCCTTATAAAGTAATAATTTTATTTAATACTTTCAAATTCAGAACAAATGAATCATTCTATTAGATGGGAGACACACTACCTAAATATGTTTCGTGAATATTTTTTTAAAATGGTATTATTATCATTAAAACTCTGTCCGAAACTTTTTGACGTAAATGGTACTGGTAAAGTTAAGGCCATGAGTAGATAACTATCACTGCACTATCCAAAATTAAAAAAATATTTGATTAAAATTTCAGTAAATCATTATCCTTTACAATCAAAATAAATATCACTTCACTATCTAAAGTATATATATATATATATATATATATATATATATATATATATATATATATATATATATATATATATATATATATATATATATATATATATATATATATATATATATCCTGAGGTTGCAGATGCATTAAAATATTTTCAGAAAAGATGTCACGGAAGCTCATTCTGCATTGTCACCATAATCAAAATTTAGTCTGAATTATCGCTTATCTTACGATGTTTGTTTTAAAATATAATTTGATATGTAACTGCAAGTATAGAAGAGGTAAGGTACACATAATAATCATTTCACAGCAGTCAACGATCATTTAATGAAAATCATTAAAGAAACACAGGACAGGGTGGGTATATCGACATGTGTTTAAACAACAATTAACGACTCGAAAAGTGACCAATTACCCCCACGATGTCAATCTGGAGAGCCTTAATTATCTCCGAATCAGCTTAAATAGATTGGTGAACATGCTAACATTTCAGAAAATGTTATTTGTATTTTGAAATTGAATTTTCAGGATATTGTATTCAAATTTACACATTTATTAATTTTTTCCCGACTAACCGATTACAGATTTTCTAACCGATTACCAACGTTCCGACCGAGTAACCGGTTAGCCGATTACAAATTGCCATCCCTAATATATATATATATATATATATATATATATATATATATATATATATATATATATATATATATATATATATATATATATATATATATATATATATATATATATATATATATATAAATTTCAGTATATTATACTTAACAATCAAGATGTATTAAATTTGAAAAAACATTTTCTTTTAAATAAACTGCAAAAAATGTCTTTTAAATCAGACGTAACGGTTTCTCCTTCTTGGTCGTCGGTCTTGGACAAGCTAATGCAGTTGTAAAAGGACCTATTTGAAACTACATGTTCTCCTTTAGCATGAAATTATCGAATTATTATGCTTTGTTATCATATTAAAATGAAATAATGAAATTAGTATTTGGATCAAAACGATATATTTCACTAAGATGGTAATAAATTAGACTTCTTTTTATACCAAACGAATGTATGATTACGTTAGAAAAATTGTAAACTTTAAAAGGAGTTTTAAAATTTTATTTTCAAATTTATTTTCTATAACAATAAATTAAAAAAAACAACAACAAAGTGTAGAGTTACAAAGAGGAACTCTTTCAATTTTAAACAATATGATAAACAGTCATTTATAAATTAATTAGTAGATGGGCGAAGATGCAACGTTTCCTTGAGACCATGAATTGGAGGATCCTAAGGAAAATCCGGAGTCCATTACACCGCTCCTACCCCAAGAGTTGGATGACCCGAAAGAGAATCCGGGGTTCACAGTTTGTACCCAAGGACCAGAGCCGCCTCGCGAAAATCCGGTATCTATCACATCACCACGACCCCATGAATTCGAAATATCCCCTCGAGAAATAACATCATTAGTGTTATCACCCGACAAGAAGTCCGGTGCGGGTCCAATGAATGATCCAGGTGGATATCTTCCTCCCTCAATACCCTCTCCAAAGGTGATTCCTCCACTTATTCCTCCTAATCCACCAATTCCACTTAAACCAGTTATTCCTTGACTTGCACTAAATCCTCCAAATCCGCCAGACGTTATAGGAATAACCTCGCCGAAACCACCCGCCATTCTTTGTCCAAAACCGCTTCCGATGAACGGTTGTGGACTTCCAAATCCAGAGACAACTTCGGAGAGGATACTATTTATTGATCCCATCCATCCTTGTCCAAATCTGGATCCGCCCATGTAAGTTCCTACAGTGTCAAAGTTACTGTACGGGGCGGATATCAAGCCACCGGAGAAATACTGTTGTCCCCTGACAACACATAGTACAGCAAACAACGCCAACACGTATAAAGCCTAAAGTTAAGAGAATTCACTTTCTTAAATACAACAGTTACTGTATTTATATGTATGGTTAATGAATAAAACTACTTTAGATTGAATGAATTATTTTAATCACAAATTTCCTAACTAAATCATCCTAGTTTACACCCTTAAAAGAAGTAAGTTAAGCATGCTTCTATTAATTCTTATCCTTTCATATTTCTTGAAAACTTTACAGCAAATGGCATTTTGGAAAACTAAACTATATATCAGTAAATATGAATCACATTAATTTGCAACTCATGGATAGAAGCTTAGGTTACCTTTCAACATCATTTTGGACGTTTAGAAATAGCATTCATTGTACAAACTAAACAAGGTGAAAAATGTTACCTTCATCTATGATGTATTTCTGAGGAAATGAATGATATTTTATCCCTGTGAATGCCTTATTTATACCTTTCCCGTGCTTTCCTTTTTTGTTCACAAAGAAACAATTCCGATTGGTTGGAATCGGATGATTTAATTAACCAGTGAATGGTTGTGTTGCAAGTGAAGTAATCAAAACTAGGTAGCTACCTCATGTGTTATTTGATATTACTCGGCGGCTCGTTCGATCGCGTAGATAAGTGACGTCACGTGACGCAATAACATGGATGTTACTGGACATAATCTTGATCACTGATTAGTGACCCCGTTTGTTACCTGCTCTTGTACTATGACTAATTGACCCAGCTGACCTCAACAGGAAACTCTTACTAAGTTTATATTAAGTGACAAAAGTCAATAATTTGGTGTATGGATTCTTCAGTGAGATCAATGTTGTGCTGCATCTTAAAAAGCATATTCCGCCCCCGCGCCCTCTTTTTAACGTATTACGGCACTATGTGTATGCGCTGTTGTGTTGATGTTGTTAAGCATACCGGGTCTTTATAAAATAATTGTTTTTAAGGAGATGGGTGAACAAGGCGCGCAGATTGCCTATAGCTTCAGATATATAAAACTCATAATCAATTTGTGAATTTAGTATTTAGAGTAAAGTTCTCATTATTGAAATTTATGAAATTATGATAAACAAAACTTTTCCGAGGAAAATTTTCTCGGCAAAAATTACTCTGTTATTAAAAAAAATAATGTGGTATTCGTGGGGTTCGAACCCTAGCAATAAAAATCCTTAGTCATTTTCGTTTGAGACTTACACGCTAACCATTACACTACACAGTTCTTGACGAATTGTGGCATTTAAATCATGTTTGTGATATGATCTTTTACTAAATGGACTTCAATTATTTCTTGGAAAGACGCGAATGTTTTGTCATATAAGTGTACTTTTAAGGTATAGTGGGTCTTTGCTCCATGTTTGTTTGTTTGTTGTTGTTTTTATTATTATTATTATTTTTATTTTTTTTTTACCAAATAATGTATATTTTTTCGCAAACTTTGAGGATAGACTTTGAAAAATATGGAGCGAAGACCCACTCATATCGAAAAAGTGTGTTTTAGTATGAGAAAATGATCCTTTTACACTATCTAGTGTGTGTATGCTATTTCATAGACAAATAATTTCAATCTTAGTGAGATTTTTGAAAATTGTGGAGAGATTACTAGTACATAAAGTATACTTTAATATTGTAATAATTGAAATTTGATTTTTCATCTTCATGTTTGTTGCACTATAGGCATTGCGCTCGCCGTGTTCGCCCATCTTCTTTGGGATACATTGATAAGAATACGATATAAAATAACCTGAACAATTTGTACATTTCACCCAATTTTGTTTATAAAAATGGCAAATGGTGACAATATCTATGTTATGTATAGACATTAGATCTCTAAAGATAAAAAAATGTTTCAAGCTTGTTAAATCGAATTGGTTGTAATTCGATCGGTGAAAAGCATTGATTTCAGTTTTCTTCACAGAGGAATGCATTCTATTACAGATCGAAGTATTTTTAAAAATCCATTTTTAAGATAAAATGCACAATTATACTGGTGTCATCTATTCACTTGCATACTGATATTTTACCATCTTAGGTTCTGTGTACGTAAAATTTTTATCTTGAAAACTCCTCTCACATATACATGTAGATACCAACAGTGATAAAGGACGCGGTAGTCAGTGTAACATAACAGACTTTTAACCGCAACACAAAACACAGATATAGTGTTCTCAGAAATCGCTGAGAATTTTTTTCTTAAAATATTTTTTTTAAAAATATTTTAAAAATAAAAATGTTATAGATTGAAATCAGATTTTTTAATCTAAAGATAATACTAGTCTTGCTACTTTCTTATTTTATTTACAGTTTTCATGAGTAACTCACCGTTTTCTTTGTATACTTCTGGTCGATTGCTAATTTTCAAAATGAGTGCATTTGAGAAAAAGAAAGTCTTTTGTTGATGTTTATTATCAAAGAATTGCAAAACTAGCGATACTTCTGAAACACCAAGTATTACACCGTTTACTATTGATTCACATGGGACAAAATATTAAAAAATGGAAAGGAACAACAATCCCCACCAGTCCAAGAAGCTACTGTACACAAAATTTTAATTTTTAAAATTTGCATGAAACAATTTTAAAATCTGCATGAAAGATAGTCTCAAATTTCAGTCTTTAACATTTTTACATTACAGTCAACAATAATGAGTTTGATCCACTTTACCAATACATAATAGATTCCTTAACTTCATAAAAATCCTTACAAAGATACATTACTCTGCCGGATCCAGCAACTGCTCTACCAAGCCCCCATCTTTGCATCTCACAAAAATATTAACTGCTGTAAAGTAGAAACTTCAGACTTACTGTGCTACAGCATATTCGAGAAGTGGTGTAAATCAAATGTAGATTCTCAAAATTACAAAGAACTTAAAAAAAAATAATAAAATCACAAAACTTTTCAAGTCAGTACCATCAAAAGGTATGCCTTTTCGACACTTTATACAATCATTCCTAACGACAAATTAAAAACTAGGGTTTTTTTTTAAATTATAGACAACTGCTTCTTCAATAAAAATGGAACTCAGAAATTCTCATATCTTGTGATTGGTCATCAAAAAATTAATCACTCTGATCCTTCACATAAGTACACTAACTGTGCTCCTTTATAAGCCGACCTGTTCTTATGAAGCAGAATTAATTCAAAAACTTCTACATAATTAGAAGAAAACACTTGCTGTGGCCTTCAACTCGACATTCAGTTATATAGCTTGCTATATACATAAATTTCAACAATCTCGTTAAGTTTTAAGTAAGCATTTCGTAAATTCTATGGTCGTTATATAATGACCTTGTTAGTAAATACAACTCATTCATATATTGTATCAAATTTTGACTGACATATTTCATACCAATTGTTAGGCAGTTTTATACTAAATTTGATTACGGATTATCCCGTCTACGTGATCAATACAAAAGGCTCAGGACTACAGGGGATGCTTTCTCCTCCTAGGCACCTGATCTCACCTCTGGAATTTCCAGGATCCGTGTTTTATGCCCTGTTTACAAATTGGTACTGTTTAGTAGGTCTTTCGAGATTGATCACTAGCTTCATTATCTTCACCTATTTCATTCATAAAACTATGCTCATGCTAGATTTATGAAAGACATGTATTCTAAATTCAGAATTTAAAGGCATCAACCCCCTTCTCCTCAAGAGATAGGTTTTAAAACCCCCTAAACCCCTTTTCATTCGGTATTTCATCGTATAATAAGCATGAGATTGTGTAAAGGTAGTATGTTAGATCATTCATAACATCTGGCGTATTTTCGACAATCGCAACAAGTGGTCCTTTCTAAAGAGCTAAAAAAAAGAAAACAAAGCAATGACTGAATGAAGTATAAATTAAAGTTAATGTTTAAAACTAAAGCTTGGCAAACATGAAACCTACACGGTAGCCGGAACATCGAAGGCCACTGCATCAACTTTATATATCTTACTTACAAACAATGCATTTTTCCAGCTTGTCAGAAAGGGCCCAAAAGGTGCAAGGAACTAAGGTGTACTGGTACAAGCATGACAACCAACACTTCATCTCTCTTTAAAGATTTTTCGGTTCATATCTCTACCTGATAAAAAAAAAATTAAAGCATGTCCAAGTCAATCGAAGTTCAGCATACAGATTTCCAGAGTATCCGTTCGATCATCTGTTCTGCGGCATGAACATTTAAATCATTATTCAGATTCTGTGAAAGAGAGGGGGTTATTCTCAATATAAATTTTAATTTAATATTCATTTTGTATGATAAATATGTGTGGAAAATAAATTTAGTAAAAGCGTAGGTGTTAGCTTAGTCATTAAAAAAATTATACTGCAGCAAAGGTGAAAACTCATGATGCACACATATCATTTTGTGCATGAGGGATGTCAGTGATACATATGTAGCTTGAAAATTCATCACGCTCTCTCTCTCTCTCTCTCTCTCTCTCTCTCTCTCTCTCTCTCTGCAAAGACCCAAATTTTCCCGCTGTTTTCCTGAGGGAAATGAAACACGTGTAGATCTGAGAAATACTTGCGAGAAATGAAAAAGTATAATATATATGTTTACAACATACACACACACACAAAAAGAGCGAAGTATAGTAACCTGGTTTTCATGCCTAATAAATAAGAAGATCAGACAAAGTGCCACAAAAATAAAAATGACTCAAAAAAAAAAATCAATAAAAAAGTATTGCATTGATTATATCAGTGGTATTCATTTCATGTACAAATTTATATGTCTCGTTTAAAGTCATAATTTCGTAAGTTCTATGGTCGATACAATGGCCTTGTCAGCAAATACAATTTATCATTGAATCAAAGGCTGACTGGCGTTTTTCATACTAATTGTTAGACCATTATTTACACACTGAATTGTCGACGGATTTTTCCGTTATTTCCCGATCATGACAAGGAGCACACGGCGGGTGTGACTGGTTGGCAGGAGATGCTCACTCCTCCATGGCACCTGATCCCACCTCTGATGTTTTGGAGGTCCGTGTTTGCTCTGCTCCTATTTTGTATTGTTTAATGGACTTTTAAGCTTGAATACTGTTCGTTATCTCCATATATTTCATGTATCATATACCCAATATATTTGGTGAATTTTAAGTTGGTCAAGACTCATATTTTTTAAAAGTACATGAAGATCATGCATTTAGAAATCAATTGTACTAATTTCAGTGGAAGAATTTTAAGAGTATAATGGTCTGTTGTTAGTCAATGTGGTAACCTGAGCATGGCATTGAAATTTGAGAGTTAATAAGCCAAGAAGTTTAGAAAATTAAAGATCGAAAGGGGTGCAAATGTTCTCACGTCTCTTTTTTTCTGCACGTCCACAATCAGTTGGACGTTTCGGAATCGCATAATTCTAGAAAGCTAGGCTTTTTAAAGGCATTTTAATTAATTAATTAATTAATATTTACATAATTTTATGCCAATTTTATGTAATGTTTTGTCCATCAAAACAGAGACATAAATTGCATAATGTCATTCATGTCTCTGGTCTTAACCAGTAAGATTTGTAGAAACTGTCGATCGAGGGCGCAGACAAGGAACCAGACTAACCGCCAATGTTATCTCCCTTGCCCATTGCTTGCCAGACCTACAGTGTGACACGCAGTGCTCGGTAATTTTGTCATGAATGAAATCATGTTGAGGGCTGTTATACCTAACGTTAATGGGGTACATGTTTCTATGCATCACAATCAAGATTATTGAGAAAATCAAGAATATACAAATGATAAAAATTATAGTACTTTTTAAAAAATCAAAAACTCCTTTATATATGTAGCATTTTGGGTTAGATAAATTATCTTTCTTTCTGTTTTTGCATGATATTTTTTTCACTGATTTCTCCTTCATTCTAAAAAATCTTGAATCACCTTTGGTATGCATATATACATGTATGTATGTACAAAGACATATAACAGAGGGAGTTGTATGTATTAATTTTTTTTTTTTTTTTTTTTTTTTTTTTGCTCTGATAACTTTTTATTTCGAGATCGGTGTTCAAAAAATTAAAATCCCATATGAAAATTTCAGCGGGTTTTGGTAAACAAAATAGAAGAAATGTTATTTGGTGATCGGTAATTCGATTCCATTGAAGAAGATAATATTTTGTAAAAGGAATATATTAACCAAAATGCTAATGTAAGCAATTCAGTTTTATAAATAGAGATTCGGGGGTGGTAACCCATCTTTTTCAGATTTTGACAAGATCGAGCACATCTCGGTTATCAGAAATGAATCTTATTCTTAGCTTAATATCTGTGTACCACTCATGCAATGTTTCATTTTTTTTGTACGTTATGTGACCGTATGTTATTAAGTTTATTTCAACCATCAAAACATTTATTATTTAATTCAACTGAATTCAGGTAATAACGATCAAATGAAGAATGTAGCAATAATTTCCAAGAAACCAACCTGAACTCAGAATCAGAGAGAGCTAAGGATAATGGCTTGGAGCAGCAGTGCAGAGAGCTGTGGGGATAGCATTACTGAGTTGTTTAAGCATCTTTGTAAGCTTCACTGTGTGTCGGACAGAAAAGTGTTCCTACATCGACCAAAGACATCAACAGTCCACACCCAGAGGAAAGCCCTGAGGACTCTGTATGATGTCTTATTTGAGTATCATCTGGGAGATCTCAAACACTGGTAAGAGTATGAACTAAAGCATATGTACAGAATTTTCTTAAATGATGCTAAATCTGTATTGTTATATTTTATAAAATCCATCAAAACTTACTTTGTAATACTTGAATAAGTTACAGCATGATTAGATCTTTAGAAAACAATATTATAATGCACATAGACCACAATAAATCATTGTAATTAAGATTATTTTGATTGAACCATCTTAATATTCCAGTGACAGACTTTCCATGTTCCATTCCATGACTCCAGACTTGTGGATGTTTGAGTACATATACGATCTTCGGAGAGGGAGACAATTTGACAAAGCAGACAAACTAGAAAAACTGTTTACACATCTACAGAATGGTAGTATTGCACAACAAAGTAAAAAAAAATCTTTCAAAAAATATTTCAGAATGATGGTATGCATGAATGTAGTTGTAAAAAAAGTATGTGTAACATAAACTCAGATAGTTTTAATAACGTAAAAGAAAATGATAAGTGAATAAACATTGTAAAGTGTTTTATGTCTTCTTTGAATACTGTTAAAAACAGAGTGTTTGGTATTGTGATTTGAAAGAATTTGATGCATTGTTATGTGAATGTAATAAGGTAACTAAATTGATAAAGTATTTTAAGTTTTTATCAATATTATTCCAGTCTTGGTTGAGATTATACTATCTTCCTGCAGATGACAGTGTAGATTTGTCTGAAATGGACTCTGTTTTGACTATTCTTCTGTTGTTGGCTGATACTAGTCCAGTACAAGGCTCCCACACCATTGGGCATGAAGGTCAACACCTACCGGTTGTTGTTTACGGCAAAAAGGTTGAATTTTTAAAAACAACAAAATATATATTCTGCTTATTGCATCACTTTTGACAGAAAATTTACAATATACTTAGAGTAAGCTTTTTTATTTATAGACCATGCTGTTTAACTCATATTATCTATATTGTTGGCAAAATACATATAAAACAGAAATCTAAACACATGTAAATAATAAACCTAGGCTAATTTACTTACATCCTGTGAAGTGTATCCTATCTCTGACAATGTAGGACATATAGACTAGGCAGCAGTATGAACTTCGCTGATTTATCTCTAGTTTGCACTTGAATTTATCCTTTATTTTACAGTGTTGTATTCAGATTCTAATATGAAATGTTTTATTGATGTATAAGTGTATATTTTTGGAATTTTTAGGATGATAATCATCTCCTTCCTGAGGGTCCAGCACTCTACCGTGACTCGGCTGTGTACAAACCAGACAGTGCACACTACATGCATTATCCCAGGTAAGAAAGACTCCAGAAAACTGACAGTACTGTAGGACATGTACTTGAGACTACACTTTGCTGAGCCAGCATAACTTTTTTTTCCATAAGCATTTTATTGTTTTTTTTTAAACTTACATGTATGTTGCAGTTCTGTGTTTCAGCATTGTTTCATAGACAATCATTAAAACCTTTGTTCTTATTATACCCCCTGCTTGAAAAGTGGAGGGTATATAGTGTTGGGTGTCTGTCTGTATGTCCATCCATCCGTTACATTTAGGGGTAGCCATCCTTTATCCACAAATCCTCCTACACCACTTAATGTAATTTAATATAACTTTCATGAAATCTTTATTACATAGTGCTATTAAGACTTTCTACTTTATGCTCTGATCAGAAAGACAGTTGAGATTTCCCCAACATGCCCAAACAAAACATGGACTTTGTCATTATACTCATATGGGTGTGGGGGTATCATTTTGTGAGGTCAGTGTTCACAATATCTCTAGTTGTTACTTTCTTTGCCTCAGGAGTTTGTTTGAAGGAGAGCCATTAACAGACCTAGGATATCTTTCAATGGTGAGTTGTTTAAGTCTTGGTTTTGCATACAAGATTTGCCTCCCATTCTATAATAATATCAACATCTTGGTGATAACTTGACAGTTGATTCATTAATTATACATTTCTGAATATAAACAATAGCACTTAAGATTCAGAGTAAAAATTTATTTGCTTAATATTTTTTCATAAATTTTTGACTGCCATGTACTTTCTTTTAGAGATTAAGAATTTCGAGGAAGATTGATATAAATGTTTAAGGTCAGGATGTGCTAAATCTGGTGAATTAGAGATTGTGATTTGGAAGAATTTGAAGTTTTAGCCCATTTAAGGGGTCCTGTTTAGTGAATTGTGAAAATAATGTTTATTCTTTTAAGTAAAAGTAGGAATAAAGGAAGGGTATATATACTGTTTCATCTCATGTAATTATAACCAATAAAACAAAACCTTACATAATACAGGAGAGCTCCTTGTCAGATGACCTTGACCTTTCATCAAAAGGTTCACTGTTTGGAGGTTTAGTCCAGCCTAAACAGATAGCCCTAAATGACAGACTGGAATTACCAGACTTTCCAGAAAGTGGGTAAGTAATTGAAACAGAAAAAAGATTTTCAAAGCTTCATAGCCACTTATTGTGTTTAATCCTTACTAGCTAAGTGTTTCTGATCCACTCTACTCACCATGGATCCTTGGACTGTCATTCTGTCAAAGCATGAACTATTTTTCTAGAGGTTTATTTTGACTCTATTCATATTGTTCAACCAATTTGCATGTGAATTATGATTTCCTTTTCGGGTTGTTTCTTCATGTTTATATGTACCAAAGAATGAAAAGCTTACAAAAATAACTGTCCATAAGGTGACAGCAGGGCTACATGTACATGTATATGGATATAATGTTTATATAATGTTATATAATGATATCTGATGTCTATGTTGCAGAAACATAGAATTGAACCCTGTCAGTCGGTCATAGTTAGATTGCTGCTTATTGATTACATGTATTCTTCACACATAAAATTGTCAGTGATGCAGCACATGTGTTAGGGCTGTGTATTGTGAGGGGGAAATGTATCATGATGTATCAAAATATATAAAAAAAAATATGGTTTAAATTATGTAGGGCTTAGGATAGAAAGCACATCACTTGTTGGATAAAATCATATCCAATCATAAAGCAGATGAACCCATTTCTACTTAATCATAAACTTCGTGAAGAAATCAGAATTTTAAATGTTGAAATTTAGTCTAAGAATCTTTAATATCATTCTCCTTTCGTGGATACTCAAATGTAGCTATCTGAAATGCTGAAAATTCAACAGCTTCCAGGGACAATAGTGGATCTGAAACACTTGGCTAGTGAAGACAACAATATGTAATTTCACTCAAATTAATTAACTGGCTATAGAAATCATTTATGAATAATGGATTGATTTAATATACAAAATTTTAACATATCTTAATGGCATTGTAGGGTATTTGAGATCCACATCCCTCAGAAAAGGGAGAAGCAGGTGCCCCCTGAAACACTGGATATCTCTGTGATGTCCAGTGGGTTTATATCTGATGTCCAGCTCAGGCCAAGCACGACCCACTGGGACGACTGCCAGAACATGACCCAGAGTCAGTTCTTCACATGGGACAAGCGAGGACGGTCAGTAATGTTATCATTCTGTCCTAATTATTCAGTGGTTTCTAACATTTCTATGTACTGTATTCTCATTGAAATTAAGTTGATGCAAGAAATTCGAAGTCAAATTCTGATACTGAATTTGCCAATGATTAGAAATTAATATGCCACTATATTTTTTCAAACTTGAGTGAAACAGTTTTTACTAAGAAAGTAAATATTTGCTTGTCTATTTTTTATGATTTGAAATTATTCTTAATTTGATATAAGGATTTAAGATTGATATTGATGTATGTTTCAGACGAGGCCCAACTGAGAAGCCTTACATGACAGAACTTGGACAGAGGGGGGTTCAGGAGTGGAGTAATATCAAGAGGAGGGAACTCTGTCTTTTCTCTCCTGACCTTCAGCCCCCACCGGTCAGGAAGTTCACCCCCAAACAGGTCACACAGGACCTCCTTCACCTAATGATCGGCATCCCGTCACACCTGTTTGTCATCAACAAGGTCGGCATCTTATATACATGTAGACAGAATAGGATTTACTGTAGCAAAGGTTAAGTTAATATACTAAATAGATCTACCTCAGTGTAAGAAGTTGTGGAATTTAAGAAATAACTACATGTATCTGTACATGAATTAACAATCTCCACCCCCCTCCCCACCACCACCACCACTACCACCAAAAAAATATGGTAAATTGCTTTGCTATCTGTGCCTGATAATATGTAGCAGTGAAGTTCAGGCATTGAATGAAAAGTCCATAATCTTCATAATAAGGAACTATTTTAACTATTTTTATCCCTTTACCTTTTCATTCTGTATTCCAGACTGTGTACTTAGTTTTCTGATTTTTAGGAGTTGCAGACTTTTTACCTAGGAGAAGGATGCGAGTTAAATGGTCTGACTCCAGAGGCCTTTCAAAGTTTTGTTGGTGACTTCATTGATTGTGGAACACGATATTGCCGTCTGCGAGCTTTTTGTGCTTCCAGCACGATTTACAATGGAGGATTAATTTTCCAGGCATTTCTTGTTGCCCTGAATCGTGTACTTCATCACTATGCTGCTGTTGTTTTGTCCATTCAAAGTCTAAACATACTGCAACTCAAGTTCCTCTGTCACAAGCTCTTCACTCAGATGAAGTATGGAATTTGTTTTCAGTAAAAGTGCAGAATGTTTATTATTTCAAAAAACTTTTGTTACATAATGACTGATTTAAATTGTAAGTGGCCATATTTTTTTTTTTATTTATAGATATTTATCAACAATGTGTCACTGTGAACAACCTGTGAGAATGCAACAACTAGAGGCATTTCCAAAGGTAAAAATTAAAGATCAAACTATTTAGATTTCATGATATAAAGTGTACGAACTGTTATGTTTTCCCCGGTCACATTCAATGATTTGATTATTCCTGTTAGGGAGTGGAGCTTTTGAGTTATCTGTACCAGGAAACAACAGACTCGATAAACACAGACAACTATCCCATGATGCTCTCCATACTACAGACTTCCTGTGGCCCCTATAACCTGTAAGATATTTTGGTATTTAATTTGCAAAGATAATGTATAAGTGTATACTCTAGACCTGTCACCGTTGTTTACTATTCTCTAGGTTTGTGAAGGAGTGGGTTTATCATGGCGTTCTGTGTGACACTTACGGAGAGTTCATGATTACTGTCAATGATGACTACCTCAGATTTAGGGGTGAGAGGATTTTTTTAACATCTAGAAACAAATGTTAAATTTCATCAGATATTCTCAGAATTGCAATGACAAAAGCTGAATTATTTTTCAACTGAAATAAAACATCTGACTAGACTCCAAATCTTGATAAATCTTTTTAGGTAAATATTTGGATTGCAACTGAAATGATAATTGATAGATACATGTAGATTTCACTTGGATAAACCTCTGTGTACATGTATCTGAATCTGAATAGGGTGGTTTAACTGTTGATTCATGAAGACGGTGATTTAGTTTTCTTAACAAGAGATTTTAACAATTAACATTCCTGAATGGATATCTGAAGAAATTTACAAGCTGTTAATATCTTCATTTTTATATAGATTAAAACTTTGTAACATGAGAAGAATTCTTTAGTGAGAACCTAAGGTTTTAGTTCTACTGGTACAATATTCTTGTTTTGGTTTCAGACAAGCATTACTGGAGCCACAGCTACACAATGATGGATCATGATGTCGAGTTTGTTCCTGGATTCCTTCATAACTTAGCTAGTGATATTTTTATTTGTGGGAAATCCCTCAACCTACTAAGGACGTGTTCTCCACATGTATGTACACTCAGCTTTACAGAGTTATCTTTCTTGTCTCTAAATATTCTGAGTTGATGACAGAGTTGTCTTTCTTGCCTACAAAATAAAAATGTGTGTATAATGATATAAAATTAAATTGGTACAATTATTAAAAGAAATGTTCCCAGGTTTAATGACCAGTACCTCAAGTAATTGATCAGAGAATCTGGTCAAAATTTGAAAATGTTAAATTCATTGCAGAGTTCTGTTTCATATATATTTGTTCCTAAACTTCTTAAAATGATTGTTACTAAATCTATAGCATGAGTCAGACTGTATTTTTATTTTTGTAGCATTTTCTTTGTGAAGTGAAGGAGCTAGACATTCCGAGAATCTCGCTTACCTTCTCAGACAGTGAACTCCATAATACAATGACACAGTGCCAAATGTACATCAGCAAAATGAAGCAGATTGCCAGACAACAAACCATGTCAAGGTCAGAAATAAAAATAGTCAAAAAGCTAAACCATGTCAAGGTCACTAATAAAAATAGTATTACAGCCAATCATGTTAAAGTCATTAAATTAAAAAAAACATTTTACAAAACAAAGAGGTTCTTACTCAATTTATATGTAATTGCAGACAAGCTGCTGAGGACCAGGCCATGGAGAGGAAGAGGGATCTGATGAGGCGAGCCAAGGCAGCGGCCACAAAGGAAGTGGAGAGAATACAAGGTGACAATCAGCATAAAAAAAACCCATCTCAATGCTTATGTTAAGGCTGTTATCAGAAATACATGTAAACTGAACTAATCGGCAGAGATTTGTAAACTCTTGTTCAGTTTCATTGCATTCCATTTGAAAGTATTGCTGTAAGTGTCAGCTTTAAAATCATATCAAACCCTAATACCTATTGCAGACAAGGTTGTACATTTACCATATATGTTACAGAGGCAATCTTAAAAAAGAGGACTCTAGCCGATGCCAAGAAGAGAGAACAGTTTGCCATACTGAAGAAACAGATGGAAGAAGATCTCCAGGTAAATATTACATGTGATTAGATATGTTTTAGTCATTATCAAGAGAAAAATATTAGAGGGTAACAGGAAGGGAGAAAATATGATGAATTAGACCAGGATTACCTGGGCCCCATCTGGCCACCGGCAGTAGAACATGTTGACAGCAATATTCCTTCCTCTTAAAATGTTTTTGCCCCAGAATATAATTAATCCAAGCTCTCCCTGTCATTTCCAGGGAATGACAGGGTATCAAATGTAATGTCCCAATAAACCGGTAAACTTCGAAAAATCAAAAAAAAAAAAATGCATCAGTGAATTAGAATAAGTTTCACAATGCTTCCTATTGTTTTCAGCTGGTGGACAGACAGCTTTGTTGATAGAGCACCTGTTCAGAGTTCATAGGTGCCCGAGTTCAAATCCTGGTTTAGTCTGACATGTTTTCTCCCTTTCATAATTTTGTGAACAAATCTCTTGATGTGAACCTACATGTATGTTTAGTATTGAAACTTATTCTGGATAAAGCACAGGGATACATGTATGCCCAATAGCCATAAAAATTGACATTCCATGACTTAATAATTCCACAGCATGCCACATCTGATAATGGGTAAAAGATAATAAGATTAATATGGTTATTTTTTGGTCACTTGAGTCACTCAGGTGACATTGCTATCTGTTTTCATCTGTCTTTGTGCAACATGTGTCATCCATCATGTGTTTACATTTGAAAATTTTCAGCATCTTCTCTGCAGCTGCTGAACTAAATAAACCAATTTTGGAATTTAGCATCTGTGGGTGAAGGGAAACAAAATTTTAGAATTTCTTGGTCCCTGCCCTCCATAGGGCCCAAGAGATGGGGCTAAACCATCAAAATTAATGCAATATTTGAAAATCTTCTTCTTTACTCCTGGGTGTCAAGTGTAAAACTGTTGGCATGATTTTAATTAGCATTGAGCTCTCTACCAGAATTATAAAATTAATGGCCCAAGGGTCAGGGGTTCTTGAGTTAAGGTGGGGCTCTATAGACCATACAATGAAAATACATAATTCTTTAAAAATTCTTCTTCTCAACCCCCTTATAATTAGCAGACAAACTAAATGCTTAGATATGATGAGCAAGGGTGCCTCTTCCAAAATTCCGAAATTCATGGCCCCGAGGTCAGAGGCTCTATTGAATGCTTTATTCCTTTTCAATGTATTATAGTTAAAGTATATAATTTATGGGAATTAATAATATTCATTGGAGTTACATGTACATGTACTTTAATCTTGCAGAGGAGATCAGATTCTGTTTCAATGGAGAAGAAAGCAGACAAAGAGAGAATGGAGCTGTTACTGATTCAAGAAAGAGAGATGACAGAAAAAGAAAAAGAGTTAGAAGCTGAAGCAAGGTAAGAAATTCTAAAAGAATCAGAAAACCAGAGAAAGGGAAGGAATGAAAACTTAGGTTTGAACATATCTTTTTGTGTAAATTCAAAAGGATTGGGTAAAAATTTATTTTACCTCGGAGTTCCTCTCCAGGAAGCCAAGTTTAAAGTCTCCATAATAACAAACCTGGACAGAAGAAAAATGCTGTCTAACAAAAATTTACATAAAACAGATTTTACCTTCCTGAGAAAGAGTGAAAAGGGTGTTCTGAGATTGTTTATTGTAAAACACTTATTCTTTTTCATGGCTGTGTAACTCTCAATAAAAATATATTAAACATTATATCAGCAAAAATGTCATATCAAATAATTTTGAACTGAAATGATTTTTCTTGTTTATAAGGGCTGAGATTATAGATTACTATGCCAAACTGACCAAGGAAGCAACAGAACGAGAGGAGAAAGCAATGTGGAAGATAAGACGATCAGTCTTAAATGAGGCCAGGCGTAACTTCCTGTCAGAGGACGAGAAAGCATGGAGGGAAGAAATGGACGCCAATCCAGAGGTGAAGCATCCTTAACACTAAAAAAAAATCAAAATCTGAGCACTGACTATGAAACCATGCCTAAATAAAATCATGAGTGGATCGATTTTTGAGACATGACACAGTATAACACACTTATAGCAAAGTGCCAGAGATGACCAATTTTGATTTATTATAAGCATAATTTATTAAATCTGTTAAGTTCCTGAAGTGTTTTCAAACCATAGGGAATAAAAATCACTTCACCATAAACACGATCTCATTATAAGCATGTTCACTGTAACGATGTCTTACCATAGTCTTTTTCAATAGAAAGTATTTAGAAAATTCAGTTGAGGATATCCTTAGAGTATGTTTGCTTTAACAGGGCAGGAAGATTGACAGAGCTTTGTGGGAGGTCAAGAGGTCAGAAGAGGCTGACCTTGATTTACCGTCATGGGCACGAAGAGTGATAGCCAAACCAGCCCCATTAATACCAGCCATAGAGGAACCAGAGGCGGTTGAACTCCCTGCATGGGCCGCTAGAAGACTCTCAAGGTTAGGTCAAGTTCACATTTTTTTATATAAAACGTGAACATTGCTCTTATGTAGTAAAAGTATACGATTATTACAAAAGAAATTGTGCAGAAGTTTGAGCATATAGAAATGCACATGTACATCTTTTTAATATTCTTAAACAGTTTGTATACATGCTTTTATAAGAAGACACATACACTAGACAAAATTGCTAACGCACCAGTTTTAATTCTTTTTTGTGAATTGAACATTTGCCTAATCGGTACTAGAATAATTAATACACCATCTTTTCCAATACAGTGCAATTGAAAAATGTCTTGGTGTCATGACAAAACCCTAAAATGACCTTCTTGCCCGAAAACCAATTTCCCGACATGCATTGCGCATCCTTTTTGCTCAGATATGAAGTTGGTGATTACCGATGATCGTCCTTGAGGTTACACCAGAAGCAGTCTCTCAGTTAAAAAATCAAATAATTTGCAGCGATTGACTATCATATCGCCTGCTAGTCATCCAGTGCCTTGGTATCCATACCCAGTCCACCTAACTTCCAGTTGCCCCAAATTTGTGGAACAATCGTGAAATTGTGGTGTGGTGTTTACTTAATGGCTTGGCTATCTTTTGTAAACATTTTTATGTTTGTTAATCTATTTGCAACAATTTTTCACTAGAAGAATAAATAATTTTTTTATTGTTTTAATTTTTCATAAATTCTTCCAAAGGAACCCCCTGCAGATACCATATTGACTGTTTTAGCACGCTCTTCTAGGATCAAATGCCGCTTGCAGTGTAATTTTTTTTCTGATTTTTTAATTAGTACAAACATAAAGAACACAAACACAAAGAAAAAAATAGAAAATTATTCCTCAAAAAAAGTATGGATACGATTTTTATTTTTTCTATGATATGGTCACGCTTCAGTTAACATTGCAGTTATGTATCAGTTAAGACATTTAAATGTCCCATTTTTTGCTAACGTAACATAATTATTTATCAAATACATCATTAACAAGTTTTGAAAAGTAAAATATTAATTTCATTTGGTGGTGCGTTAGCAATTTTGTTTAGTGTATATACATATACATACTGTATTTAAAAACAAGTGAGTGAGTATATAATGATTAGTAAAGGTTAAAGGTACACTGCTTTGTTACAGTCTAGAGAAGGAAAGTAGTCGTCTATCAGAACATCAGCCTGAAGTGTCCCGGGGGAGAAGAGTGAATGTGGAGAGTGAAGAAGAGACTGCCAAACCTGCCATCCATGTCTTCCATGAGCATCATCCATCTAAAGAAACTACTGACATTACAACAGCCAAATCACAAATTCACATAGTGTCTGATCGCCACTGCTCTAAAGAGTCAGAACCTGTAGAGAATACCAAGATTGGCGTAAAACTTTCCAGTCATATGAGTGCAACTACTGAAACTGAATCTAAGGAATACAAACCCCATCTAAAGTCACATGGTGATATGAATGCCACAAAGGAGTCCACAGAAACTAAAGAGGTCAGTTTCCCTAAGCGGAAAGGTCAAGAGGGGTCAGGCGTATCAGCTGAGACACAGGAGAAAGAGTGGAAAGTGAAGCCGGCTAGTCTTTATGGACACGTCAGCCAGCTGTCAAAACAGGAAGTCCAGATCAATGTCCCGAGGCTCAAACGCCCAGAAGAAATCTACGCATCTCTGGAATCAGACTACAAGGACTATGGAATCAAACCCAGAATTAGAATGAGCAAAAAAATGTCTGCTACAAAGGAATCAGAGGCCACTGATGGCCCAAGGTCAGGGATCAAGTTCTCCAGTGTGATGTCATCCACAAAAGAGTCAGAGTGGATAGATGTGGATAAGGCCAGGTTGGAGAAATTCAAACGACAGAATATCCATGGTCACTCATCGGATTCAACAGTCCAGGCCCTGCTGTATGGACCAAAGAGAGATAAAGGTAGGGAAACATAAAAAAATTCTAACATTTATTTTGAAATGTCTTTGTTGAAAGTTAATAATCCTGCAATCCTAGGTATAAATTTTCAGTGTTATTGTTTTAAAGGCTAATTTGGAGGAGGAAACTATTATTTATGCCTGTATGTAAATTTTGCTGATTTTGAACAGCTGCAGTAGATGAACTGCCTGCTTTCCCCCCAATAGAGTGGACCTCCTCCATCCAGTATGCTCCTGTGCCTTACCAAGATAACTTTGATATATGCTGTAAGAAACAATTATATAAAATTCCATTTACATGTATTTATAAACTGAATTCTTGCATGAAACATTAATGAAGCCTTTAGCAGTCCTATTTCTATACTATAGGGACTGACTTTTAATCATTTTTGTTATAAATTCTAATACTTTCAAAGTTTTTTTGAAAACAATAGACTTGATATTCCATATAACAATACCTTATTTAATGGCAGGTCAGCCTCCTGTTGTTGATTTGCTAATGATGTCATCAGGCATGGTTTACGGAGGTCACGGGGATTATGGGATATCTCAGATGACAGATGTCGGTGTGTATGATTATCTGCCCCTGTCAGAAATCATGGAGAGATCAGTGGTGGCGCCACTTGCTTCACAGTAAGTTATGTAAAATAAATTTCACTCAGTAATACAGAATGCAAGGTAGAAAAGTAATTTTGATTTTGGAAAACTTAACGGTTTGTGAAACTCTATAAATATAGAAGTTACCATACAATGATTTGAAATCTTATTCACTAGTTTGACTAGTAATCTTTTGAGTGTTTGAGATTATCATACATTTATACTCTATTTAGATTACAGGATATCCTTGGTATATGGAGTATTTGTATTTCAGGGTATCATTATTGAATTGCATGTATTTAGCCATGTTTTGTATTACAGGGTATGATTGGTTAATGATTTGACCATGTTTATATTACAGGATATCATTGGTAAATGAGAGTCTATTGGACTACTTTTTTGTGGAGTTACATCTTATGGACCACTTGAAAGCTCTCAGGCGCTACCTCCTAATGGAAAATGGAGACTTTGCACAGATGTTGAGTGATATGTTGTTTGAAAAGGTTGAAACTGTTGCAGTTGTCAAAAATCATTTAGATTTATTTTTTTCCTAATTTTTTCTTGTAAATACACAGATATCTTGTAACTATTAGCAATTAAGGACCCTCTATACACTAAAGGAAAAGACTTTTTGGACATCGAGAAAATTTTAGTGTGTAAAGGTGTAAAAATTGAGCTTATATATTACATTTTCAATATAGGGTACCTTGCATTTACCTCCAGGAAAAATGTTCAAAGACAATGAAGTACTGATGAACAGAAATCACTGTTGTTTACTTAAATTGGCAAAATACCTGCAAATGAAGTGTTCAATCCACTTATCTTGACCTATTAAAATGTTATGAATGCTTGATTTGATCCCAAATTGAATAAAAAGACTGTACATTTCAATTTGTTTTATTGTAGATCAAAGGGCAGATTACTCTATCTGCATAAAAATACCACAAAATCAGAACTATTTAGTGTGCAGTGTATAGAGGGCTCTTAATATGAAATCGTTTTTCACCATAAGTCAGATAATACCTAATATACATGTACATGTACAGTAAAACATGCTTATAGTGAACACGCTTATAATGAACTGACATTTATAGTGAAGTGATTTTCATTCCCTTTGACTTTAAGATATATTGAACACTTAACGGATATAACGAATTACGCTTATAACGAAGCAAATTTTTCTGTACTTGGCACTTCGTTATAAGCGTGTTTTATTGTACATATATAATTGTACATGTATATAGACATATTTTGTGATATTCTTTTGTGAAATTTTACAACTTCCAAACTGAGCTTGTACTATTATAGATATAATTTCATAATTACATAAAGTAATGACAACCTTGGGGAGTAATTAATGATATTTTTGTGATAGATTTCTTCCCCTGTAAGTGCACGGGAGATGTTGACCCCTCTGTTTCTTAACAGTGCCTTATCCAAGGCTCTCAAGTCCACAACACAAACAGATGATAAACTGGCAGAAAATCTCAGCTTTGCCTTCAAGTATCCTCCAGGACATATCCCAGCTAAAGGTCTGTGTAGTCATTCTCATTCTCATCAGATTGTGATAGGTCTGTTACAGTGCGTAGAAATAGTAAAGGTGTAGCTCTTGTATATGGGGAACAGTTGAAGCATGTACTTGGTTATAACACCAGTTGATAATTCTTACCATATCACAGTATTTATTTATACATTTAGCTAGCATCATATTTCTTTGTACATACAATAAATGTAAGCACGATAAAAGTTTATACCACCATAATGTTGTTCAATACACTTTTTTTCACTGATTATAAGTAATTATTTTTTGCTCCTGTGATGGAAAATTTGGGGGCATATATAGTTTTTGATCAATTCCTCCACCAGTGACCTGACTGTTTAATCTTTGTGTCCCCAAAACCTTAAACTTGTCCATAATGTTTGAATGGCTGGTGCAAGGACTTTCATATTTAACATGTGTATTCCTTTTGACAAGACCTTTCTTTGGGTACCAACATACTTGACCTGTGAGTTTGACCTACTTTTGCAAAATTTTACCAAACTTTAACCTTGGCCATAACTTTTGAATGATTGGTGCTAGCCTAGGGCTTTTATATTTCACATGTATATTCCATGTGACCAGACCTTTCTTTTGATACCAACATTTTTTACCTTAATCTTGGAGTTTGACTTACTTTTGAAAACATTTAACCTTGACTATAACTTTTGAATGGTTGGTGCTAGTTCTTTCAAATATAAAATGCTTATTCTTTGTGACAAGACCTTTCTTGGGTATCAACATTTTTGACCTCCCAACCTTGACCTTTGAGTTTGACCTGCATTTGTAAAAACTTTGTTTTCATTTATCGTAGGGAGATCTGTTTTAGACTGTATGGAACTTCGTTATATTGTAAGTATGATCAATACTTTACTTGTACATTCATTAAAACTAGTGTTGAGATAGTCTTCATGGTAGATAGCAGTCATCTATGGACATGATATATACAGCTCTCAATAATTGGTGTCTGAAATATATTTAAAAACTCTTCTGTTTTGTCTTATCTCATGCTTTGCATGCTGTCCAGTCTTATGAAGTTTCATAATAAGATAATAATGTAAATGTAATATATGTGTATTTCATTCAGAGAAATCGAAAATGATTCAGGGACTCGAAATTATTTCTTAAACAATAATTACAACCTCAGCAAACACTAATATATAGAGAGAGGGAGAGCTGATCAGCACTTAATGAAACTGAGGTCTTGAATGCAAAACATACTGGGAAAATAGTAGTCTGTACAAAAAAAAAGGGGGGGGGGTGTTAGATGTGTTGCAACACTGAAAATATATACAGTATAAACATGATAAAGAGTGTATAACGAATTCATTTGCAGGTTTCTTGGCCAATAAATATTGTAATCACTGAGGAGTCTGTCAACAAGTACAATCAGATCTTCTCCTTTATGCTGCTACAGAAACAAACTGTTTGGGTGCTCAAAGATGTCTGGCATCGACTCAAACGAGCAGGTCAGTATCAAACAAGCAGGTCAGTATCAAATGAGCAGGTCAGTATCAAATGAGCAGGAGAGTAGGTTTGAGACTCATCTAAAATGAGTAGGTCAGAAAAAGATCTCTTGTATTGACTCATACAAGCTGGTCAGTAAAGATTTATGGCATCATCCTAAATGAACGCATCAGTAATGACGCCTTACATCTATTTGGTTGTGCAAGTTGTGAGGCAGATATCTGGTTCTGACTTGGACAAGCAGATTAGTTAGGATAAAACCTGATAAAGTAGAGGAGTGTAGAATGAACAAACAGTCTTGAAATCCATTGTTTTCCTTTACTGATATGAACATGTAATTGTACATGATGTTTTTGATATTACAGCTCTTCTTCACAAAGCTGGCAATGCCTCTCAGTTCCGATGTCTACAGCTTTACAGGTATTAATAATACACTAGCTCCACTTTGGTAAATGGTTGCATTGTAAATAAATCTGGTCCTGACATTATACAGTAGCAATCAGCATATTAAATTAACTATAAAATATAAATCCCTGAATATAAATGTGTGTACATATCCTATGATTTTGTTGTTAAATTTTCAAAAACTGATATTCATGTGTGATATGGCATGATTTTTAATCAGTACTGTGTAAATAATGACTGTTGTAATTGAAGGTGTATCAACATTAAAATCTTTTGAATTCAATCTTTTCCATGCTCCTATAGACAAGAGATGCAGCATTTTGTGAGAGTAATGCAGGGATACATTTCACATCAAGTTATTTTTGTTACCTGGAACGAGTTTAAATCCTCCCTGAAGTCGGACGTACAAAACCTGGACGACTTGATCCGAGTCCATGACGACTACCTCAACCGTGCCATATTCAGGTTTGGTCATGTCTCACAATCTTGCAGTCAAAATGCATGTTTTAAGTCAGTTTAGTAAATATGATAATAAGTTCCACATTTTCTGTTACAGGTGTTTATTGAACACGAAAGCAGCTAAAATAATGAAGATAATGCGTGATATGTTTAACCTAATCCTTCAGTTCCGTACACTGTTAGTGGCCGCAGACTGGAGGAGGGATAAAACCACTGGGGAGGTATCACATGACAACTTCAACCACATGTACAAGTGCTTCCAAAATTTCAGGCAGTATTCTGTTTTTCTCTTCAAAGGTCAGTTTTTAGTTCTTTTAAAATCTAATCCATGTGTACATTCGTCTTAACTTCATTTAGCTGTAAAGCTCATCATGTATCTTACTTAGCTGTGAAGCTCTAATCATGTATCTAACCTAGCTGTAAAGCTTTCAATTATTCCATAGCTGCAACGTTTGTGAACTCAGCATGAAACAATCAATCATTATTCTGTATATTAACTGTATTTTAGCTCAATTTTAAGGTTATAATCAAATCCAGTTACAAGTTGATATGTCAAACATGTAGATCAAGTGCACCAAGGTTATCAGATGTTGAAATCGTGTTCTGGCTATAACTTTCCAACCCTGTATTAGAATGAATTAAAATCCTAAATATGGTACTGTCCATGGTGTATCATCATCTTGACCAATGCTGTTTTATTTTGTAGTGATCAGTAAACTAGTGAAGCGTGGCTACCAGTCACATCTCCAGGACTTCCTGCTGCGACTCAACTTCAACGATTATTACAGAGACACATAGGAATGGACCCTCCATACGAAGGAACTAATTATTATGTAGGAATGAACCCTCCACACAAAGAAACTAATTATTACAGAGAAAAGTAAGAATGGACCCTCCACACAAAAAAACTAATTATTATGGAGACACATAGGAATGGACCCTCCACACAAAGTAACTACAGATACTCATTAATGATCTAAACAGGCCTCATTTCTGTGATACACATGTAAATAGTCTGTAAATTTTTAGATATTCCCTACATTATTTATGTAAAATGTACATGTAAATAGCAATAAAATTTCTATTCATTTAAAGATTTTTCTTGTACATGTACACTAGACAAAATTGCTAACACACCACTTATTATTCTCATTTGTGAATTGATCATTTTCCTAATTGGTACTAGTATACAAAATTAGCTCATCTTTTCCAAAACAGTTGGATTGACAAATGTCTTGGTGTCAGGTCAAGACCCTTAAAGGACCCTCTTGTCCGAAAACCAATTTCCCGACGTGCACTGTGCACCGTTTTTGCCAAGATATGAAGTTGGTGATTACTGATGGTGGTCAGTGATGCTGCGACGGGAGCAGTCTCCCACTTAAAAATCAAATAATATACCCTGATTGACAATCATATTGCTTAGTAGTCATCCAGTCCTTGGTGTCCCTACCAAATCCACCCAACTTCCGGTTGCCCCAGTTTTGTAGAACTATCTTGAAATTATTGTGTGGTGCTCACTTAATGATGTCGATATCTTTTGTCAACATTTTTATGATCGTTAATTCATTTTCAACAATTTTTCACCAGAGAAATTCATAATCATTTAATTCTTTTAATTTTTCACAAATTTCTTCAAAGGAACCCCCTGCAGACACCATACTGGCTGCCTTAGCAAGCTCTTTTAGAGTCAAACGCCACATACGGCGTAACTTTTTTTCTGAGTTTTTAATTAGTACAAACATAAAGGACACAACCACAAAGAAAAAATTAGAAAAATTTATTCCACCAAAAAAGTCTGGATATGATTTTAATTTTTTCTATGAAGTGGTTACGCTTCAGTAAACGTTGTTATTTTTCAGTTAAAGCATTTAAATGTCCCATTTTTATGCCTCGCCATGAATATGGCCGGGCCAAATAGTGTTTGTCATGTCCGTCTTCCGTCCTTCTGTCACACTTTGCATTTAGCTCTGTTCGAAGCTCAGTTTCAAAGAAACTATCCAAGATATTTTTATCAAACATCATATGCTGATAGATATTGATGAGAGCTATGCAACTGCATCATTTTTTGACCTTGACCTTTCCTTTGACCTTGACCTCACTTTTCTTAAATTAGTGTTTAGCTCAGTTGTAAAGATACCATTCAAGATAGTGTAGTCAAACTTCATATGTTGAAACATACTGATGTGAGCTATTCAACTGCATCAACATTTTTTTTACCTTGACCTTTCTTTTGACCTTCACCTCACTTTTCTTAAATTAGTGTTTAGCTCAGTTTTAATGAAACCATTCAAGATATTTTTAACAAACTTCATATGCTGATACATACTGATGAGAGCTATTCAACTGCATCAATATTTTTTACCTTGACCTTTACTTTGACCTTGACCTCACTTTTCTTAAATAAGTTTTTAGCTCAGTTATAAAGATACCATTCAAGATAGTGTTATCAAACTTCATATGCTGATACATACTGATGAGAGCTATTCAACTGCATCAACATTTTTTGACCTTGACCTTTTTTTTGAGCTTTCCTCACTTTTTCTTAAATTAGTGTCAAACTTCATATGCTGATACATACTGATGAGAGCTGTTCAACTGCATCAATATTTTTTTCACCTTGACCTTTCCTTTGACCTTGACCTCACTTTTCTTAAATTAGTGTTTAACTCAGTTTTAAAGAAACCATTCATAATATATTTATCAAACTGCATATGCTAATACATACTGATGTAACCTTTTCAACTGCATAAACAATTTTTTACCTTGACCTTTCCTTTGACCTTGACCTCACTTTTCTTAAATTTGTGTCAAACTTCATATGCTGATACATACTGATGTAAGCTATTCAACTGCATCAATATTTTTTTCACCTTGACCTTTCCTTTGACCTTGACCTCACTTTTCTCAATTTGTGTTAAAATGTTGCATTACTATGGACATATTTCTAGTTTATTAATGTAACATAATTATATTTCAAAAACATCATAAACAAGTTTTGAAAAGAAAAATGTTAATTTATTTAGGTGGTGCATTAGCAATTTTGTCTAGTGTAGTTTGAACAGCTCCATCTTCTGTGAGACAGATCAGACCAGCATTTGTTTAGTAAAATAGTCACAGTCCTTTTTTTTTTTTTATCAAATGTTGGTTAGCATGTTATATTCTACTACTTAACTTAATTGGCCCTGATAGCAATAATACAGATTTTACACCTAAACAGCTGAAACTTACATCTACTCAAGAAAATCAACTGATTTAGAGGTTAATTTTATTGCACTGTCTAATACATATATGGCACAATAGTAGCAAAGAACCCTGAGCTTTTATGTAGAATATTTAATACGCAATTGCTACCCAGTGGAAGAGTATTGTTTAATTTTCTAATCTCAAACTAGCAGTATACAAATATACAGATATACATGTATGTATGTATTTCTTTGCCAAAGTATTAGTTACATGACTGTTTCCACAGTTATTGCAAATGTACATGTAAGCATAAATATAATTTTCACCTGCATCATTACAGATAAACATTGAAAAACAATAAAAGTTTCAAGATAAAATCTAGATATGGTTGAATTTAGTTCTCTTTCTTTTCTTTTTTCTTTTCTTCTGATTTTCTTTTGGCATCCATTTTCATCCTTCTCATTTGAGACACAGCTGCTCCAAGGTTTGACATCCAGATAAACTTGGAAAAAAAATCAATTCATAGATTACTAAGATTTCTGATATCCAGTGGTAGATTACTAAGATTTCTGATATCCAATGAAATTGATGTTGACATATAATGGGATACCAAATTTAAAAATCATAGTGGTGATTGGTCATATCCCTTAAGCAGAATAAATACAATTTATATTGAGTATTAATGAATTTAAAAAAAAAATTACTTGTATTTACTCCTAAATTCATGACAATTTGACTGTATATCTGATTGATTAATTATGCACAGTATTGTGATGCTATTAGCTGAACATGATAAATATCTTATGTGGATTTGCATGCAGGTCAGTGATAAACTGTTTTTATTTTATCTAGCTGGTTGTTTTATCCAAGCCACTTCTTTTCATGGTCTACATGACAGTTCCTTCCCTCTATCAAAAGAGGTTTTTATCATACAATTATAGTTAGAAGTAATGCATTCATCAACCAGGGCTAATTTCAATGGTTAAAAAAGTTCTTCTATGTCTCTGTCCTTAAATATCTTGGAGTCCTTATGCATTACTCTTTCTCTACTAAATAGATTTTTATTTTAAAGTAGTAATATTCACATGCTTACCAACAAAAGCAGACAGTTGAACAGGACAGGTGTTGAATAAACAGTTGAGAAGAACAATCCATTGCTGTCAAAGTACTGCTCCTTTGTAAATACTCTTTAAAAAATATCAAACAGTGTATGTTGATCATGTCGATATTTTTAAAACAGTGTATGTTGATCATGTTGATATTTTTAAAACATCATAATTTTGATGGAAACATTAGGTAAGGTAATACGCAGTGGTGGTGCAAGACAATTAAGTTTACTGAAGTCAAAATTATTTCTAAATATCATTGAAAACAAAGTTAAAACACAACAGTACAGCAATAGTCACCTAATGTTTTACAGACGGATTTTGTTTGCAATAAATTTGCTCTCTAGTCACAGAAATGGAAATATGCTTACTTCCAATGTTTAGCTGCCAGTTCGTTTAAATTCTCAGCAAAGTACACAGACAGAACTGCAATGGAGGATTGTTTGTTGTTTTAATGGAAAATTAACAATTGCATTCACTAGAAATTGCAAAGAAATATCCATTATTAACTCCTGAATTGGTAAAGGAAATATTTTTAGGTTTGTAAACTTTAAACAAAATACTGAACATAACAGATTGAGAGATTATTAACATAGAACATGTAGAATGTGTATCCATACTTACGTAAAATCACAAATATAATAGACTGGATTAATCCACTTCTACGAGTCACAAGGATCAAGAAGAAGCAGGTGATATGGAACATAATGAGTGCTATGAGCCATTTTTCTGTCCAGTCAATCTATTCAGATAAGGAGTACATGTATTACATTAAAGAAAATTTTGCTGCAGTTTATACATGTACGAAGACAAATAAAAGGCAGATAAAAGTTGATGTGAATAAACTTACCACCTCGTCACTTTTATTTTTTTATTTCACTTTTTTTTTCTTTTTGAAGTTTCGAGGTAGGCTTATTATGCTTTTCCTAGATACAAATGTGCCATTAGATTCTGTAAGATTAAGGACCCTCTATACACTAAAGTCTGGAAAAGTTTTTTTGGACATTGAGAAAATTATAGTGAGTAAAGGTGGAAATACTGAGCTTCTATATAACATTTTTAACATAGGGTACCTCTCATTTACGCCCAGGAAAAATGCTCAAAGACAATGAAGTACTGATGAACAGAAATCACTGTTGTGTACTTAAGTGGGCAAAATACCTGCAAATAATGTGTTCAATCTATTTGTCTTGGCCTGTTAAAAACTTAAAATGTTATGAATGCTTGTTTTGATCACAAATAAAGGTATAAACTGTACATTTCAATTTATTTTATTCCACATCAAAGGGCAGATTACTCTATCTGCATAAAAATACCACAAAATAAGAACTCTTTAGTGTGCAGTGTATAGAGGGTTCTTAAGCTCTCTTATTCTGTAGATCTAAGTGTTATCATTGATTATTTTCAATTGTTTAGTTATTGTATGTTGCACAACTTTGAGCTGAAACAAACTTTTGAACATGTACATAATTATAAACTGTGTGTATTCGTTATGCCTATAATAGATGAATGGATTTGTCTCTAATTATACGCAGTTTACAACATTCTCGAATGTTCCAACATTCATTTCTGCTCACGATTGCGCATTATCTATCTATTGTTCTTACCGTGGCTATGTACGTGAAGAAGTCATTGACTTCGTCTATTTTAATAGGTCTCTCTGGTCCTGTACTTTCCATGTTAAATAGAGATTCTCATTCCCTCATCCGCACCGCATTGATCCCCACGTCGTGTTTACATTTCGAGTATAAGGAATATCGAACCCGATCAAAAATGAAACGGAGTTCCTTTGAACAATTATTCTTCAGCCTGCAGCCATTACCGTTTACTGTAATTTTAAATGCAGTACACAGCGGATACGGCAAATTCCCAAATTTCTTACATTCATTTTTATTTATTTTTTAAAAAAATAATTATGTTTTGTTCCACGAATCAAAAAATCTAACTATGTAAATGTACAATGTTTGACATAAACCCATCTACACCATAGGCACTCCCCAGCTTAATTGTAAAAAAAAAAAAACATATCTACTATACTATAAACATAACACATAGTATAGTAGATATGTTTTTTTTTTTTACAATTAAGCTGGGGAGTGCCTATGATCTACACACTTTTTCTGCCAACAATAATTTCGAAAATATAGCGGATCAGACCTATAGGTGACATCTCATTTTGAAAATGAAAAAAAAATGTTCATTAAAAAAATATATCAATCTTTGAGAGTTTGTGCCTTAGTCCCATGAGTTTGACAATTTTATAGATAAAAATGATATATATTTTTTTATTCAAATAAAAAACGGGATTTCAAATTGAGTATAAAGAGTTTCTAAGGCTATGGCCACTTTATGCCCACCTGGGACTACGCGGCAAAACATTTACATGTATACTTTTGCGAAAATTTATGATCATTATCACACTCCTGCATCTTGTTTATTAACAGAGAACAATGTATTAACATAATCATTGTAAACAACTTAGTATACCGCCATGAGGGCTGGTCCCTGGTTAAGGGGGGCCAGAATTTTATAATTGTTGTAGCTATACTTGTAGCCACTGACTACAATCATGCACAGTTTGTCTTCCAGATGGCCAAAAGTAAATAAGACGATTTTTGAGGATGTAATGTATTTTCATTGTAATCAGCTTCCAGGACCCAGGAGACATCAGTTTCATTATTTTGGCAGAGAGTTAAATTATGGGGTACACAAAAGTCACAGGAAGGTAACAAAATATGTTAATTCCCGAATTTTCTCATATATATGCAAATTTTATTCAATTCTGTCTCAGAAATCACAGAGCACAAGCTTAATTGCCTATTTACCAAATTTATATATACATATGTATTTCCATCCTCGCAAGCCAGGGGTCCTGAGTCAACTCGTTGCCGTTGTCCAACGGCAACGTATTGACTCAGGACCCCTGACTTGCGAGGATGATGTATTTCATGCACTAGTATTATATTAGATGCTTCTTGTGTATAAAAATCTCAGATAGGCAAGTTCGCGCTTTATGTTTCAAAAAGTGAAAAGTATCTCAAAAATTACAAAATTCGATTAGAATTAAGGAACTTCGGAAAAATGTCCAACTTTGGAATCCTCTTGTGGCCTCCCTGTACTCTGAGAACCAAAATTATTGCTGGTTTTAAAACAAACAACATTTAAAGTCCTTATTTCTGCAAACTATCATAATTTTAACTGAGTTCTGATTTTTAAATCAAATAAGGGGCTAAAGTCGGCTGTTATACCATACCTTGTCCTTTGTTAAAGGTTGTGCATGCATTCATAATAATCTTAAAAGCTGTTAGCCAAATTTCAAACTCATAGTTTATTTATGTAATAGTAATCAATGCATGGCAACAGTTTGACCGCTTGATGTCCAGGAATAAAGAAGAAGATTTTAGAAGATCAGATTAATTTTAATGGTTGTGGCCACGCCCCTTGACCCCGAGGAGACAGAGACCATGTAATTAGATGTAATAATTTTTGTTCCCCTTCACTCATAACACAGGATTTGCTTCTGTCATATCAGGCCCGTAGGAAGCAATTTCAGTTGGGGGGGGGGGGGGGGGCACAGCCATATATTTTTAGTTGAGGGGGCACTATCAACCAAAAATTCCTTGACAAGCAAAAAAAAAAAAAAGGTCATCAGATTTTTTTATTGAGGGGGCACAAGCACACGAGTATAGTAGCTATGTTTTCTGCAGTAATCTATATATCGGCAAAATTATTGGGGGCCGTGCCCCCCCCCCCCCCCCCCCCCCCGCGGTTCCACGGCCATGCATATATGTTTATACACGTTAAGGTTAGCTTTGGTGCTTGGCTAGGGTTTGGTATAGAGATAGGGTTAGAGTTAGGGCTAAGAGTTAATGTTAGGGTTAGGGTCAGTGCTGTATTATTATTTACTATGGGTAAAATTTTATTGGTAAAAAGAAGTAAGTGCTTGTGATCCATGCATAGCTGCTCTACAAGACAATTGGTTGGTTCCAGAGAAGAATTAAGCTGAAAATGCTCAAAGGTTTATGTACAGCGAACAACGCACGGCGATGGAATAAAACACAGATGAGTGACTTAAATTGGCGGCTTAAAGCGTATAAAAGACGTTAACTTATACATGTAAATGCACAACTAGCTGCAGAACTTTAGCTCTCTGGTTGAGAAAATTTGGACAGACAAACCAGAGAGCTACAGATCCAAGCATTGTAAAAACCTTCGATTTACGGCGACGCTTTTTGTCGCTAACTTCGGGCATTATTTCTTGTATCATATGCGTTCCCCTGCTTAAAAGATGATATCCTTTAATTAACTGCATATTTTACTTCATTTACCTTTTAGCGGTTCCAAACAGCCCTATATGGGCTTGAAATGTCAGCATTATAAATTCGCATTCCGACGTCCATGTTGAAGTTTTGGTAGATTAACACACCCTGAATGGGATATAAGTATCAGGAATAGGAGTAAAGAAAAATATGGTTATTTAACGGATACATTGCTCTAAGCGAGGGAACGCATATGATAAAAGAAATGATATCAGAAGTAAGCTAAAAAAAAGCGTCGCCATAAATCGAAGGTTTTTACAATTCGAAAATTGAAAGAGTGAATATCTCGTCTCTGTGGTTATAATGGATAAGAAGTATACAGTGTAGGAATTCAAAGCCAGCAGAACTTTCATCCCAAAACGAGTCCCACTGTACCAATTTGTATCAAACAAGTCCTACCAAACTGACTAGAGATGTAGAAGACAAATGCTTCATCAAGGAAGACTTCAGTTCTGTCATAAAAGTGAGAGATAGTGTGATCAACAGGAACTATTGCAAATATATGGAACAAATTTCATCAACATATATCCAGTAATTGTATACGCAGGCACACTTAAAATCGACAACACTGACAGGTGGCGATTTGTACTACAGGAGTGAAAGCGATACGTTAACCAGAGAACCACTCTATGTTTGTGACATGCACCTTGAATACATAGACTTCAGAAATTTCATAGAATACATAGTACTAATTATGTACTGTATGTACTTCTAATGTATTTTGAGTTCTGGCTTCATGTTTCTGTGAACCGAACAATCAGTATTTTTATTTGAATTTTGAGATACTGAATATGGAGCAAGGACCCACGAGTATGAAAAAAGTTTATTACAATGATTACATGGAAACGATTAGCTTTTGCATTCTTTGATGTGAGCATGCGCTTTTACAGATGAATAATTTCTGAATAAATACTTACTTTGGGCATATATAAATATATTTCCATTTCCAAATATTTTCCTTAAGATTCATTGCAAATTACAAAAAGTTCATGTTCCCATGAACTACCGTGGGATGAGTAAGAATATTTCCATTGTGATGTGATTGAAGTCAAAAAATAGTGCAAACTTTTTTTTTTCAAAAGATGATCGTTGAATGACAAAAATATGTGGCAAGTCATCAGAAAAATAATGTAAATATAAGATATGAATTTAATTTTTGAGGATTCATGAGGTACATGAACTACAACGCTTCACGCATGCATATTTATCATGAAGCGCTAACGCGCTTCATGAAATATGCAGTGCGTGAAGCGTCGTAGTTCATGTCCTCATGAATTCTCAAAAATTAAATTCATCTCTTATAAATTGAACTATATTTGTAACTTCATACGTGATACATTTAACATAAGAAAGTCCATGTGACTTTATTTTTATACTGTATGTATGACTTGTGCCACATGTAGTTTTTGTTAATAAATCAATAAAAATGAATAAATAAATAAATAAATATAAACTGGAGTTAACTGATCTGTCAAACACAATCTTGTTATGGTAACGGTTGAAACAAATTTTCATTTATTTATCCAAACGGGTATATTTTTATCTACTTACTAGTATTCGCACATGTTCTTATGTAATGAAACATATATATATATATAGAGAGAGAGAGAGAGAGAGAGAATATGTTTATTCACCAATCAAGGGCCCTCAGGGGGCATATACAATTATTTCAGAATGATTACATATAAATAATATTAAAGTATATTTTAATATGAAAGAATATAAATCATATCTATCATGAGGGTACAAATGAAAGATGCACAATACCACGAGTAGGATACTCATGAAAATGCAAGATTTGCAACATACATGTAATCACAATAGTCTGAAACTGGATCAAAAATATTGAGTAGGAAGAAAACTGAAGGAAGATAAAGAAATTGACAATAATAGCAGTATGCTAATACATGTATATAGTGTGGCTTGAATACAGAGGGCACCAGGGGACGATGCCTCTGCATAGTCAATCTTACTGACACACCTGTACCCTAAGTATTCAAGACACTACTCATTCAGAATCATTTAGGTGATAGCAAAACTAATAACATATATAAAAAATACTTAACATATAATTATGTACCTACTCAATTCAACCTTTTTTAAAGTGATTATAGGTATTTTACATTCTAGTATAAAATACATAGTTACATACCCACATACATATACACAGTTGTACATACATATGCATGCCTACATACATTATTATGATACACATATATACACAAATATACCATTATATTTAACAGTAAATAAGTAATACTAGATGAAATCCCGCGCAAGCGCGGGTAATTAAATTTATACCACTACCAGCAGAAAATATATTATAGTTTATCATGACAGCCTACAGGCTTATAGCAGGAAGAAATACTTTGTTCAAAATCCCGCATATGCGTCTGCAACCCCCCACCCCACCCCCTTTTGTAAAAACTTGAAAAAATAACAATTTCATTAATTGATGTTTATTGTGAAATCTGTTATACTATGTTATGGATATTGTACTTCAGATGCTTTTATTTCATTTCCGTCAAGGATAAAAGCAGCGAATATGCACATTTAACTGATGAATTGATTGGTTTTTTTTTTGGGGGGGGGGGGGGTAAAAAATTCACAGGTGCTTGGGTCTTGGTTTAAAATACGTATGTACCTTATTGATATGTAAAAAATGTACGTTACCTTTTTTACATATCAATAAGGTACATACATATATATAAACCAAGACGCAAGTACCAGTGTAAAAATTAGCTTTTAACGCCCTATGAATGGCCGAGTATTTGATACAAAAGAGACTGTATTCAGAAAAAAACTGAAATGTATTGATTAAAGCACAAAATTTTACAGCTTTAATTGTATATGAGTAATATTTTATTCATTAATTTTCTCTTTTCATGTAAGCAATTTTATTACGAAGTAGAAATTGTACTTCGGGTTCGTTGCCACGATGCTTTCAGTAAGGAAAATATACACAATATACCGATAAATTTATTAGGAAAACCTACTACACATATGTAATAGTCTTTCGATATATAAATATATTCACAACTTAAAGTGTATCAATGATTTACCATTATTTCAATGACCATTCACACAAAAGCTTTTTTTATGTTCCTACAGCTATAATCGTCTCGTTTTTATTTTTAACATCGGGCTCGGGTAATTAAATTTATACCACTACCAGCAGAAAATATATTATAGTTTATCATGACAGCCTACAGGCTTATAGCAGGAAGAAATACTTTGTTCAAAATCCCGCATATGCGTCTGCAACCCCCCACCCCACCCCCTTTTGTAAAAACTTGAAAAAATAACAATTTCATTAATTGATGTTTATTGTGAAATCTGTTATACTATGTTATGGATATTGTACTTCAGATGCTTTTATTTCATTTCCGTCAAGGATAAAAGCAGCGAATATGCACATTTAACTGATGAATTGATTGGTTTTTTTTTTTGGGGGGGGGGGGGTAAAAAATTCACAGGTGCTTGGGTCTTGGTTTAAAATACGTATGTACCTTATTGATATGTAATAAATGTACGTTACCTTTTTTACATATCAATAAGGTACATACATATATATAAACCAAGACGCAAGTACCAGTGTAAAAATTAGCTTTTAACGCCCTATGAATGGCCGAGTATTTGATACAAAAGAGACTGTATTCAGAAAAAAACTGAAATGTATTGATTAAAGCACAAAATTTTACAGCTTTAATTGTATATGAGTAATATTTTATTCATTAATTTTCTCTTTTCATGTAAGCAATTTTATTACGAAGTAGAAATTGTACTTCGGGTTCGTTGCCACGATGCTTTCAGTAAGGAAAATATACACAATATACCGATAAATTTATTAGGAAAACCTACTACACATATGTAATAGTCTTTCGATATATAAATATATTCACAACTTAAAGTGTATCAATGATTTACCATTATTTCAATGACCATTCACACAAAAGCTTTTTTTATGTTCCTACAGCTATAATCGTCTCGTTTTTATTTTTAACATCGGGCTCGATGCCATATGATGTTCTAGAAGCTTCCGTCAATATTAAGATCGGTGAATGACAAAAATTATTTGCACATTTCCCTTTTTAATCGGTTATCAAAACTTATTTCTTTTATGTCATTTAAATCAAGTTTTGATTGAATAATTCAGTGATGACGTTTTATGAAATGAATAAACGATTGATTGTTGTCAGTTTCATTGAAAATTGCCAGAAACTTAGATCCGCCAACCGGAAACGCCACCGTACTCACGTTTTTGCTATTTCACGGTTGTTTATAGAAAATAAAAGTAGACTTTTGATTTAATGTACGATACTTACAATGCGAGTGAAATCTAAATATAGTTTACGGACATCATATTGTATCTAGTGTATTCTTAGAGGAATAAGTAAAAACTCTGGTGCATCCGTTTCGGAGTTTATTTGCAAAATTTATTAATTTATAAGTATAGATTAATACTATTGTTTAGTGTAGAAAAGGTAGCTTGAATACAGAGGGTACCAGGGGACGATGCCTCTGCACAGTCAATTTTACTGGCAAACCCGTACCCTAAGTACTCAAGGCACTCAATCATTTCACTTTTAAAGGATATAGGGGGAAAACACAGTAATATATAAAAACTATGTACTTTACATAGAATAGACCTTAATAAATTTACTAATATTTTATATTCCAGCTTTCAGAATCATTTTACTAACTTGAATTAGTATTTGCACATCCTCATTGGTCATAAGCCAGGTTAATTTATTATCACTGTCCAAGTTGTGAAAATTCTTACAGGATTTGTTTATTAATTCATACAAGACATTTCTTTCATCTTTAACATGATTACATGAAAGAAGAAAATGTTTCTCGTCATCAACTGTTTTGTTGTTACATTTAGTACAGTGTCTTTCATCTCTAGGAATGCCTATATATCTTCCCCTTTCAATATTAAGTCTGTGAGCTGATATGCGAAAACGTGTAAAGCTTCTCCTCTGATCAAAATTCTTCAGTAAATTTAGATATTTTTCCTGACCAAAATTTTGTTTAAAAGTACTGTAGCAACTTAGTTTTTTGTCAGAATTTGATTTCAATTGTGAATTCCATTCCCGTATATAGTATCTAAATAAACAATCTTTAAGTGCACGTTTGAATTTATGTCTTTTGACTGAAGTTAAATCGCGAATGCCATTGATACTGGTGAGAAGAAAATTAATGTAGCTGTACCAAGAAGGAATATTCTTGTCAAACAGTGATTTGGATTCATAATATGCATCTTTTAAAAGTGGGAAAGACTGGCCTAGATTTTCAAGTCTATACCAGTAACTTATCATTGATCTTATAATGTCAAAGTGCAGGGGGAATCTACCCAAATCAGACAAAACAGCAAAATTAGTTACAGATTTATGCACACCAAGTATTGATTTGCAAAATTTCAAGTGAAGTTTTTCACAAATTAAGTTGGAGTATACTTTTTCAATAGTACAGCTGGGGATGCTATTTTTTTTAGTAAATGGGTTAAAATAACCCCAAATTTCAGATGCATACAGTAAAATAGGTTTAATAGTATGGTCAAAAATGTGAATAGTGGTTTTAATGTCAGGATTCAGGGATATGAAATTTCTTCTGAGTTTAAAAAATGATTTTAATGCTTTTTGATAAAGCTCCTTTTGAGCAAAGGAGAAAGAGCCAGAGGAACAAAATGTTACACCTAGATATTTGTATTCAGACACACATTCCAGTTCAACATCATCAAAGTAAAATTCTGTTTTGGTGAGCCTACCTGCTTTGTTAAAAACAATAATCTTAGTTTTAGATGTGTTAATATTGAGACACCAATCATTGCAGTATTGCTGTAGAATATTAAGTTCTTGCTGTAAACCTTCTGCTGTAGAGGAGAGTAAAATTATGTCATCAGCATACATCAAGCACTTAATTGAATTTGAATTTATATAAACTGGGTCATTAGATGAGTTTAGATAATCTGGAAGATCGTTAATAAAAATTTTAAATAAATTGGGACTAAGATTGTCACCCTGCTTTACACCCAATGTTATTGGGAAAAAGTTTGTAATCTTATTACCGATACGGACACAGGATTTGCTTGATGTATACATGCTTTTGACTACTTGATAAAAATTTGTTCCCACACCGATTCTGAGGAGTTTAATTTTGATACCTGTGTGGATAACAGTATCAAAGGCTTTTTGAAAGTCAACAAAGCAGGCAAACACTCTACCATCCTTAGTATTACAATACTTATCAATAATTGTCTATAAAACACTTTTTTATTGTTTTCTTCACATAAAGGTACACTATAAAAATCTAGTTCTTTATTTTCAGTCCACGAAGAACATGGTGTAATTCATCAGGAAGCAGCTGATCATGTACATAGTGGAGATGGGCAGGAGACTGGCGATCACCGAGGTATAGAACCAGGCTACAAATCACAGAAATGAACTTCAATATAAAGGTCAGTCTGAATCTACCGAACCGTTATTGTAAATAAAGGAAAAATAGTAAATTCTTTTCAATTCAATAAGCAAAAAACCTCCAATATAGCCTGTTATTATTAATAAAACAACAGGACTTTTAAAACAAATGATCTGCCCCGATTTGGTGTACATATTTACTAGTATAACGCCCTTAAACTCATTGCATTTAAATTTCTTGGAGCGATCAGAATAAAATTTTTGGACCTGTTCCAGTCCCATGAATTAAACCTTGGTTGGGTGAGGCATCTAGCGTTACGCAATGGTAATATTGTTTCGGGTGTTATAAACTACGATAGCAAAACAGGTAAATGTAATATGATGTTGTAATTTTAAAATGCACCTCATTCAACACTCGATCGTATGGTATAATATACTGTATATCTGTAGTTTGATATTTAGGCCTATATGTTTGGACGATCAGTGCCCTACTCTAAGTGTGGAAAGTGAATAAAATTAATAGCTGCAAACTGTACTCACTAGGGGGAGTGTAAAATTCTTTTTCTTTAACCTCCGTGATGTCAATTTTTAAAACGCCTTTGACCGTTCCAAATCCGTCCTCACAACACACGGACAACATGTAGGAATTAACGTCACGGTAGGCAAAAATTGGCTTTTCATATGTAAAGATGACGAATTCCGTCCCATTGATGAGTTTTATTTCAAAGTTAAGTGTCTGAGGACGAACACTTTCTAATGTACAGCAGACGGCATCAGGGGGCACTGTGGGGTCATACACCGCCACCTTGTAAACCAGCTCACTTCCGCCCTGTGTTTCCGGTAATGACATTTCTTTGGGGAAATTGGTAATGATTGGCGGCTGAAGAAGACAATTGTTCAGTATTTTAAATAATGTAAATCCTATACGGTACCAGTTTTGATGCACGAGATGCGCAGTTCGACAAATTATGTCTAAATTACGTCAAACCTATATCAAGTCCAGAAGAGTACCCAAAGTTTGTCGAAGCTAGAGCACATGTTTGAAATATTGATAGAAGTTCCAAAGAAAATGCAAAGTTAGACTGACCCCATTAAATGTCTCTACACTGAAGGTTGTCGTAGCTGTATTTCGACAAGTATCCACCACCTTTAACTTCGCCAGGTATCCTGCCAAACCTTCGGGACTCTCAGACGGTTCCAGCTGTCGTGCTACTTGTGTAAAACCTAAAATACAATTGTTTTCTCTAGTTGATGTATTGATAGATTGGATAAAAACTAATATGATTTTTACAAAGAATTAAACTACACGTTTAAAGGCATATACAGAAACCCGAGCCGGTTATAAATGCAATTTACTTCTATTCCTTCAAAATTTACATTTACGATTTAAAAATATCTGGGGTCCGTTTTACAAAAGAATATTAGTTACGACTAAGATCCAAAACTCAAGTTGGTTATAAAATTTTACAGTAATTATAATTCTGTTTGAAATGCTAGCATGACAATATCTTGTTGAATTCTTTTTTAAAAGATTAAAACAATTTTTAAACAAACGTAAAATAGATAGTTATAAGCATTATCAAATTTTGGTCTTAGTCGTAAGTTCTTTTGTAAAACGGGCCCCTAATCTATTGAAAAACCCATTCTTTAAAATACCCTGAATAAAGATGGCGGATTAACTATTTATCATATTCTCGCTTATATTTATTTATTATATTTTATTCGTAATATTACCCACAATTGTACTCACTGAATGACTCATTAAGGTCAATATAATCGTTTTTCAGTGCCCAAGACACAGTGACATTTTCTTTGTAATCTTGACCTAGGATGGAATAGGAGGAAAAACTTGTTCCTACCGGCCAGTGGTCAGCAGCAGAAGTCAAGTACATCGATTCCTCGAAGGACACCTGTGTATCTGACCAAAGATCACAAATGTCGACCAATCACATGAATATCACTGACATGGTATACATTTAAATGCTAGTTCTTCTTGTGAATGAATTGGAACAAGGAATAAAAATGAGAGAGGTTTGGAATCTTATCATAATCAATCATTTAAATGGAAATGAAAATACATGTAAAACTTCTCTCGGGGTGACAAAGTAATTTGCAAATTGCAGAAGTCAATATAGTTCCTTACTGTTGTTGGCGTACACTTTGATAGTATATCCTCTCTCCGACAACTTCTCAACTGTTGACGAACTTGCATTGGCTAAACTTTCTGACCAATCAAACAACATGTATTCATACGGGTTATCTTTGTATTGAGTACGGTATATATTTTGAGGACAAAATCTGTCGGTTGAGTATGTGCAAGCTCGGTATGATATAATGTTTCTCTCGGAGACCCTCCTACAATTTATAATTGTAAATTAATTTTTAACTGACCGCTAGACAAATATTAAAATAAAAGCCATTCTTTTCCTTTTATGATAAATATTTCTCCTCATCTCAAACTTGATTTTTTCTTTAACCAGAAAGATATACCAAATGACCCCTTCTTATTTCAGTATCATACATTACCATCCAATCCTGTCCCCGGCTATAATAGCAATACGCTGATCCTCGGGAACAGTGTAATTTAACGCTTTTACATTTCCTTGGAGGTCAGAGTCTGTAAAAAACATGAAACGCCTTTCATCAAACTGGACTTCTTTTTTTTTAAAAAGGGATATTATATTTTTTGATTATCAGAAGGATATTAAATGAAAGTGTTATCAAAAAATATATATACACTGAATATAGTGTCGATAAAATATGCTTTATACGCCGTTTCCGACTGACCTATGATCTCCACTTCCTGTATGGCCTTGAGTTCATAAATTGTTCCTGATTTCTGAGACCAAACCATAAACTGGACGATTCCAACAGCACAAGGATAGAACTCCCACGCCGTTATTATACCACAGCAATTTATCTCAAACAGGGAATCCTGCATCAGGAACATCATTCCTAAATGAACATATTTTGTACAGTTCTTCATTAAGAGATACTCCATACTAGTGCTTAATTTGTGCTGTTAAGTCAACAGAACTTGGAAGCACAGCCAAAAGAATTAGAGATCATACACATCTACATTATTGCATAATGTGAGTATTTTTTAGAGAACATACATATATATTCTGTACTACCAAATGATAAAGAAATAAATTGGGATTTTTTTTTACCTGTATCCTGCTCACAGGTTTCTGTGACTGCAGAAGCTGAACTTGGTTCCTCAAAATACAGGAGAGGAACCCGGAAGCAGTCTGTATCAAAAGAGTGTTAGTCGATAAAGGAAAGGCATATTAAAAAGATTATTCTCGATGTTAATAGTACAATTATTCTTTGTTATGTTAATTTGTTTATTAAATATAAAATGAAATTTAAAAAAAAAATATGTTTGTGTGTTTACTTCCTACTTAACCTACAATATTTTCCAATGGCTGGATCTGTGATTGGACACCCACTGAATGCCTCCCACATCTTTTTGGCGAAGTCATCTGTATTTATAGCGCTAAAACTGGACCCTGTGAAGTACCTCCCGTCCGCCCCCACGGACTGAGACAATTTGGTTTGGGAGGCAGCATCCTTGACCCCGATAGCCCAGACGTAGTTATCTCCAGCATTTCTTATGATATGGACTTTTGAGTATGGATCGTCTGCAGAGAAAAGGGAGTCTGACGTATAGATGTAATAGTTGGGGGCGTCAGGTCTGTCCCCTTTATCTGCTTGGAACATGTTAGTGTACGCATACTCCAGAGCCTTGTCGGAGTAGTCGGTGTCGTTTTCGTACAGATTCGACCGCCTGTCAGTTGATATGCTTGTAATAGCAATCACAATCTCGTTCTTACTGGTGTACGTGTTGAGATCAAAACGCCACGTTGGATCCGTATTATATGTCACAGCGCCCACTCTTATTCCATTGTCTGAGTCTATATACATTTGGTTCACTAACTTGGACAAGAAATTCTTTTGGTGGTTCCACTCCGTGGGAGCCACATTAGGATATTCCCCTGTGCTGTACGATTCTTCGAATATAAAAATAACATCAGCTCTTTCATTGGGTCGGCACCAGCAGTTTACTGAAATAGAATGTTCCTATTTATCACAATTTAAGCTTTAGAAGATACCTGTCCTGTCAATAGTAAGTAATGCGCTGTACAATATAAATCTGATTAAGTGAACCCCTTAATTCTATAATCTAAATGCGTTCCAATCATTTCTATAGCATCAGATATATAAAATAGATAAAGGTCATACTCAATTTGTGAATAAAGTATTTAGAGTAGAGTTCTCGTTATTGAAATTATGAAATTATGATGCACAAATCTTTTCTGAGAAAAATTTTCTTGGCAAAAAGTATTCTGTTATTTAAAAAATGTAGGATTCATACGATTCGAACCTAACAATAAAAATTCTTAATATCATTTTCCTTTGAGACTAACACGCTAACCACTACGCTACCCAACTCCTGATGAATAGGGGCATTTAAATCATGTTTGTGATATGATCCTGGACTAAATGGACTTCAAGTATTTCTCGGAAAGATGCGAATGTTGTGTGATAAAAGTGTATTTTTAAGGTATGGTGTGTCTTTGCTCCATATTTTTGATAACCAAAAATGTATATTTTACGCAAACTTTGAGGATACACTTAAAACAAATGGAGCGAAGACTCACTCATATCCAAAAAATTGTGTTAAAGTATGAGAAAATGATCCTTTTTGCCCTTCTTGGTGTGTGCATGCTATTTCATATATATCATTTCAACCCTTGTGAGATTTTTACAAGTTGTGGAGATTTTACATAAACTATACTTAAATGTTAGATGAAATATCAAAGAAATTTTTGTTATAATTGAGATTTAATTTTTCATCTTCGTGTTTGTCGCATTATAGGCATTATAGGCATTTCGCTCGCCTTGTTCGCCCATCTTCTTATTTTATCAAACAGGGTAGGGTAAATTTTTACTTAATTTGATTTTTTTGAAAGGCGTGATATATGACCCAAAACAGCTGAATGATCAAAACAGTCTTTAAAAAATTATAAACCACAATTTTTTTCTAAAGTCATTAATATCAAAAGTTTTTTTTTCACACTTAATACAATCATTCTTGACAGTTTGAAATCAGGCATTTTCATGATTTTGATATCATAGACAACTGCTTCTTCAATGAAAATTGTTCTAGGAAATTCTCATATCTTGATTGGTCATCTGCAATTTAAATTACTTTTTAAAAAACCATTCTGTTTCTGTATTGATATTAAAAGATGTTGGAGTTCCTCATTGACAATATGTATGTAGTCTTCGGAGACTAGTTTTCTAACAAGCTGTTGGAATATCAATTGGCACTAACTCTGCTCCTTTATTAGCTGGACCTGTTATTATATTCATGTAAAGCAGAATTAAAAAAAAAAAAACATGTTCATGAGAAGAAAACTTCTCCTTCAATTGGACATCTTATCAATTAACAACAGCCACTTTCATGCTTATATCAACTCGATATATCCCAGTGAGCTCGAAATAAAAGACACCACCGAGTCTGCCACATCTGTTTCATACTTGGATGATTTACTGACAATATACCATAAGGACCATCTAACAACTTAACCGTATGACAAACAGGGATGGGGTAATCGTAATCAGTTGTAATCAATTACAGTTTGCAATGTAATCATGAGTAATCAGTAATCATCCGTTTTTCTGATTACAAATAATCGTAATTTAATCGATTACTCTGAAAAAAGTCTTGTAATCATGATTACTTTTTGATTACTCTATGATTACATTGATTAAAAAGTTAATAAAATCAAGGTCTTTGATGATATTCAGTAATATTTTTCAGTGTGCAAATTTGTTTATAAACAAATTTGTTTATAAGCAAAAATTCTTATAAAAAATTATAGCCTATATATAGCTACATCTTCTTCTATTGCCTTCACAATTGTTTATAATCAGTCCATTGATCAGGTAATGAGTGAATTATCTCAGTTCCTTGCTATATTCAGTAGCCATTTCAAAATACTTTAGCAACGTGGTAATTTGCCTTGTGTGACTAAATATATATACTGAGGAAAATTACTACAGGGTCATTTTAAATTTCGACTTTTTTTGTTTCTAATAACATGTATGTAATACAACTTTTTGTTTTCCTGTAAATCTTAAAATATACAAGTGAATTTTTTATCCAATGTATCTTTGTGATTGGTATTCTAAAAATCACAACTTTGTTTGATTTACATAAAAACATGTTAATTAATTAGCAAATGCAGGTGTACTTGAGTTGGGTCAGCTTGGGTAATAACAATAGTGAACTAATCATGCTAGTCAAAGTGTTAATTCTAGTAGAAACGTCTAACAATTGGCAGTTTAATTGAAAAGTTCATCACTCATATCAATATGGTCAATTACATGTACAATTTGATTCAAAATGAGTTTTATTTGGGTTTTTTTCCCTCAACAATAGCACAGATATTTATTTGTATGTAAGCTAGAAATCAGATGATCAGATAAACCATCTCAAGAATCTACGTATATAAGGACATGTAACCAAACTTTGTTTGAACTCTACTTTTCAAACGTAAATGATGATTTATAAAAACAGTTTTTTCCCCGCACATTAAACAAAACAAAAAAAAAATAAAATTTAAAAATTAATGTAATTTAGACTAATCACAAGTTATCATGATTACATCATGGAAAGTAATGAGATGTAATTTATTACTTTAAAATGGCTGTAATCAGCTTGTAATTACTTTTAAAATCCAAAGTAATAGTAATTTAATTGATTTCTTTTAAAAGTAGTCGACCCCTCCCTGATGACAAATGAGATTATTTAAACTTTTCCATGTTCAACTTTCTTTACTTTGAGGATCTATGTATTAATATTCAACTATCACTTGCATGTGGTGTGTTGTCTCACAATGTAAGGAAATATTCTGAGTACGATCAATTTTTAAACCGAGGCAAGCTACTGACAAATAACTGTACCAATGTACCAACTGTACCAGTTGATGTACCAATGATAACAAGATCGTTTAAAGTCAGCATTTTGAAAATTCTATGATCGGTATAATGACCTTATTCGCAAATACAGTCTATCGATCATTGGATCGTATTTTGACTGACTTGGGTCATACCAATTGTAGGTCATTTTTAATACTAAATTTGAAAACGGATTACTCCGTGTACCCTATACTTATACATAGGTTCACGGCGAATGTGACCGGTCGACAGAGGATGCTTAATCTTCCTAGGAGCCTGGTCCACCTTTGAAATTTCCACGTATTTATGCGCCATTCACAAATTTGTACTGTTTTAAATAATTTTGAAATCGATCACTTTCGTTATTTTCAATTTTTTTAATTTTTATCAAATCATAACTTTTGTAATGCTCCGAATAATAGTAAGATAATATTTCTGACCTTGAGATGGATTTCAACTCGGTACACAAAGGAAGTTTAAAGATCATAATATGGAATCAAAACAAAGTTATGAACACAGTGTGAGGAATATACGAAGGATTGAATGTGCAGTCATCGATTAAAATAAAATGTCAAAATAGTTCCTGGTATTGGAGTGAAGTTAAGCGTTTGTGTTATGTTTGGGTTCCTTTTCTCTTGTTGATAAAGAAAACATCAACCGGAGTGGTAAGAAAAATAAGATGGGACTTAACCTCATTACTGGAAGACATAGACTTTACATGCACAAATTTTCTTTTTAAGGTCTTCCGTTTCCAACGGAAGACCTTCTACTGATTGTGATGATTAAGATTATTCTTATTATTCTTTTTTTTTTTTTCCTAGACGCCAACTTTTGTTTTTTTAAACAGATTTTGTTCAAATTTTCAGAGCTTTTAGACTTTACAAAACACTGTCAGAATACCGTAATACAATTCGGAAATTACCTTCTGTTCACGAGTTATTCCCCTTTGATTGAATTTTGCATGCCTCCGATTTCCAGACAAAGGCTCAGAAATGGTTATAATTGGAGCACAAAACCCTTTGAAATTGAAAAGAGGAAGCATTGAAGTTGTGCACATCGGTTTTTGTTTTTTGATTTTCGCATTAAAAATGGCGCTAGAGAGGGGTCAAAAGTTAGAACGCGGAAAACAGCAAAAAATTTGACATATTTTCCTTTATATCTTGAAAACTAGAAATATTTTGTTAAGACATGTAGAACAAAAGTTGTGCATAATTGCAAGGGCTTTCATATTATACTATTTTAAAGGGGCTGGCCCCTATGATTAGGGATCTTGGGCCCTTTAAAGTTTTTGCTTTATAACTCAAAAACGGTAAATATTTCGATCTGGATCTTGGGAACAAAATTGTTCTTTTACACCTTTTTGATCTAATGAAAATGTTGTTTTGTTCGAGTATACCATGGGTATTGCGTAATACATATTAGAAAGCAGGCCAGGTAAACAGGTAACGTTTTTCATTCGGCAAGGAAATCAGACCTCTTCATGTGTATAACTTAAACAGACTTGCTATCAATAATATACCCTGCGGTATTTAATGTTAATTTTCTTTTTAATAAGGTTTAAAACGTGGTTTATGGTTCACTATTAAATTATTTATTACAACTAGTCTTTCTTTTCTTCTTTTTTAAATTAGGTTAATAGTGTTCAAAAGCGGAGAATATTAAATCTATCTTTCTACGTTTATTATTACAACAAACTTTGTAAGTGATTTTAAACTGTATGCATTGAATAATTCACGATCATTAGCTGTATGCATATTACGGTCTCCATGTTCAGCTCGATGTTTAGTTATGTAACCCAACGCGCGAATCCCACGCTGTTGATCGAGGTCACCAGTGTACTAGCCACCTGTGGCCATAAACAAAGCTAGTATTTGTGATCGCGTATAATGTCAATTTTGTACAAAGAGCTATTAATTAATGGAAAGTTATGTTTTTAATTATATCGAATCAGTAAGATTACTTTACCGATCTTTTATAATCTTAATTCCAAACACTGGTGCATAAAAATCATTTTGAATTTTAACGCTGTTTTTGTCTGTTCACGCAACAATACATTTAAAAAAAAGTATTGCTCTATCCCGTGTTGTTGTATTTTAATTCATCTGCAATTGTAA